ATTACTTTAACCTTTAATAGTTCAAATTTTGCATTATCATATATCTCTATCACATAAAAATAATTCCATATACTTAATTGTAATATATATTATTCAAAAGTTAATTTATTATAAATTTAGGGTCAGCTTCTACTTAGAAAAAAAAAGTCAAAAAATTTAAAATGTAGAATATAAAATTCCAAAAACAGATAGAATGTAGATTTTGACATTTAATTTTCTTTCTACTTTCTCGAATTTTATATTGTTTTTCCAAAAAACAGGTATCAACAAACCAAAAGTAAAGTAGGTCAAATAGGAGTAGTTTTATTACTCAAATTTTTTTTTTGAGGGAAAATAGATTGCTTAACATCAATCAAATTGAAATCCATCGAATACAATTAGGGACTCGGGAAGAGTACCCATCCAAATACAATAACCATATAAGAACTACGGAGTATTTGGTACAAAAGCTTTTGTTGATATGAACCATTATTTGGTAGTTGGTACAAAAGTTTTTGTGGTCAATTTGAAATACCCGGAGCATGTATTTAAACCTTTTCATTCGTACGGAAGCAGGGAGCCTTGCATTCTACGTAGAAACATTCAAGATTTTCTTCATTCAAAAAAACATTCTCAAACATAAGAAATGTGCTCTTATGGTTCTTGATGCGCTCACCAAGTCACCACGGAGATCACAAATCAGAGCTAAACAACACGTAGGCTCTGCCCCTCTGCGTAATCTGCTTGTGAATTTCGTTCGTAGGGTTTTGTCGTTATTTATCAAAAGCTGTCTTAGTCTGTACTTATTTCCCTGGGAAATCAATGGGTGTTGGAATATCTGTGCTGATAGGCCTAAAAGCAGCAACTTTATTCGCAATATTCGTGTTTCTCAGAAATCTTGGTTTCGAATGGCTATCAGCCCCTTTTCTATATGCTTCACTCATATCTGTATTGATTTCAATAGCCTCACACCCATTAATAAATCTCCCAATCCTGCTGGGCAAAAGCTCTGATGGGACTTTACCGCTATGGTCCCTTGCAATGTTCAGTCCATACTTGTTTTTTGCGAGGGCTTTCTCTGCTTTGAGAAGAAAGAAAAGTGGGGAGCCTCCTTATACTGAGGTATGTGAGGGTTTGTATGTTGGAGGGTGGCCTTCTTCTCCTGATAAATTGCCACCAGGTAAACCTGCTATTGTTGATTGCACCTGTGAGTTACCAAGGAAGTTGGAGCTGTCTGGAAATCATCCATACTTCTGTATTCCAACATGGGATACCAGGTCACCTCAGCCAGCTGATATTGAGGCTGCTGTAAAATGGGCTTGTCGAAAAAGAGCTCAGAAGGTTCCGGTGTTTGTTCATTGCGCATATGGTTTGTGACTAGTTCTCAACTTTACATGGTTGCACTTTTCATTATTCATTAAGTTCTACTTGTAGTGAAACATATGTTGATAAATTTTGCATGAATTTAAGTGTTAACTAATTTTAGACAAGACGATGAGTTTCATAAATTTGGCACCACCCATACCAATGTGGTTAGGATTAGAGTGGTGATGATGATACCTGAGAATAGCTTGAATGGACATCAATGTGATCATGTCATACTTTAACTGCTGATTTGTTTCTCCACATTCTTTCCATCCAGAATAAAGATTCCTGTTTGTCTTTCTGTTTCCACTTTCCAGTATTACAAACACAGATAGTTTATTTGGGATAAAGGGTAGCATTATATTTGCCTATTTTTGGTATTTTCTTATGTGTGCTTGTTTTTTGTGTTTACGTGGTCTTTTGATTCTTTATTTATGATTCCCAAATGGGACAGTGAGTTTTCAAAGAAACTGTTATGAATATATGAGCATGGCTGGGGAACCTTCTGTTGCTTTCTAGCTGCTTACAACAATTCCTTCAAAAGGAGTAATGTGTTGAATTGTCTTAAACCCGAGCCCTGTTATCTATTAGCTAAGCGAAGTGTGATGATGGATAGTTGTGTTTGATTCTGTGGAACTTTGCAAATTTTATTGTCTTGGATATGTATGTAGCATCCTCTTCTCAAGATGCCAGGATGATCTGTTAATAACTGTCGACGTCGGTGCTTGATAAAGTTCTGTCATCAAATAAATTTGAAAAAGTTTCATTTAAGTTTGAGGATTTATTTAATGTGTGCCTGTGGATATATGATATACTCCGATTTGAAGTAAAGTTGGATAGTTCCAAGAAAAAATGCAGTTTAAAAAATTGATATGATTATCACACCAAAATTTATACATCCATCACTATCATCAAGGACAATCTAAGAAAACTATTAGCATTAGATATTCATTAGAGGTAAGGCTTGTGTAAATCTCACCTGGGAACAAAGTGACACATATGGGACTTTTTAGTGTTTTTTATATTTTTAATATGTAAATGGAATCATATAATGTCATAGCAAAACTTCGAAACAATATATTTCTTGTAAGATAATCGCTTTCATTATTGGGGTATACCTTTGTATGTTTCAGTGCATCTCAACTTCCTGCTTGCGTAGCTAAACATCCCCCCCCCCCCCCCCCCCCCCCCACCCACAAGGGTAAAATATGTTGTTGTTGCTGAATGGTAAATAACTACTTTTTCACAAAAGTAGATCTAAAGCAACTATCAGTCAAAAACATTTGATGATCTTAAGCGGAAGGCATGATTAAGGGACTGGAAAATAAATCGATTTTGCAAGCTTTCCTGATTGTGAAGAACTAGAATCTTTTAGCATATATTTTAATTTGGTTCGTGCGCCTATATAAGATTAGATAGCATTAACAATTTTTTTAAAATGATTTAAAACCAGCTTAGAGCCCCATTTTGCAGTCATTATCAGTAAGGCGTTAAGTACCCTTTGGATGAAAAGGTTGTTATTTTCTTTTTCTTTCAAAAAATTCAGTAAGTTCAGCCAAATAAGCTTTTTACTAAACGAGCGTATATAAGTGTAGGCCATTTTAATTTTTTTCAGCATGAAGGCAAAGGGATGCTCTTTGTTTGAGCTCTAAATTAAAGTACATATTGAATAATAATAATAATACTTGTATATAAATCATTATATTGATTCCCTACAGGTCATGGACGAAGTGTTGCAGTAATGTGTGCGCTATTAGTAGCTCTGGGTGTTGCAGAAGATTGGAAAAATGCAGAAAAGTTGATCAAGGAAAGGAGACCTTATATTAGGATGAATGCCCTGCACCGCGAAGCTTTAGAAGAATGGTCAAAGGATCGGCTCTCCTTTCAGCCAAAAACATGAATTTGGCATTAGCTATGCAATCCTTTCAAGTCTGTGCTGAACACTCCTAGCTCTACTGGTTTGACATAAGAGTGCAGCTGGACACTTATCATGCTTGTACTTTAAAATCATTCAAACTTTGTATTAAACATTGTGTACACATTATTGCACATTTCAAATAACAGATGATTGAAGTGGTTTTGGTAGAGCTTGATGGGGGAACTACAAGTTCAGCTATTTTAGAAAATTCAGTTATTTTCACAAGATTTTAGTTTTTTTACAATTCTAGAAATTTGGGCTGCTGGACACTGATTTTGTCTTGGTAGTAAAATAAATCAGCCTGCTCAGTTTCAATGACACCATTTAAAAAATCACAACATTCGAGTTTGTAAGGACTGTCTTAATAACTGAAGAATACGAACTTGTTATTTTATTTAAATTGTAGTATTAATTATTTCATTACCTTTTTGGCTTTTTGCAACAAAAACATAACATTAGTGCTTATATATGCTGCTTTATTACCAAAACACATTTAAATTCGTTATACAAGAACACTACAAATTAGTTAACAACCCCAATTCCCAACCAGTTTGAATAGTATGATTGCCACTCATAATATTCAACAGTTGTCATTTCCAAAGCTTGGCTTCTAGTTTCACTGTCATAAAAACTTGATGAATAATAGTTTCACCCGTACAATCCAAGGTTCAAAATTGTCACATAGTTGAGATGATTTATCAAATTGCATGTTGCATATGCCTCATTGCGCAATGGGGTGCAATCCTAAGGCGTAAAACACACACACTCGCAAAATAAAGTATTCATTAAAAGTCAACAATGGCATATTAAAACATACGCAGTATAATAATGAGGTACCAGTCTTAGGAAAGTAATACATTCAAACTAATAGCGAATACATTTGAATTGTTCATCAAAATAAAGTTCCTAACATATAAAGTTTTAAATTTATTATATTGATGAATGAAAAATCAAATCATCACTCTCAAGTAGTTTGATCTTTGAAAAAGGAATCTAAGTGCAGGAGGGAAGACTTTATAGGATAAATGCACATTGAAAAATTTGCTGGGAAAGATGAGAATCTAAGTCTGAGTATACTTTATATTATATGCAGATTAAGAAGGGAGACGCCAAGTCAAGAATAATGAGTAGTACTACGTAACAGGGGGGGGGGGGGTCTTTTTTTGCTAAGTAGCCTCATATAACTTATTATAACATGCTTATACACTGCTCCAAAATTGTGTACGCTTGCTCATTCAGTGAAATAAGCAACGCCCTTTATCGCCTCAGGCCCAAATATAGTTGAGCAAGTACAAACTTTGAGTTTGGAGGGAATTTGAAAATGATTTTCCTTTTTCCAGCAACACTCTAACACCTTATGGGGACAAAGAGAGAAATATCTAGTTTCCCATTGTTTCACAGCCTATTCATCTACGACTTTCTAGTCAACAAAGACTTCACAACTTCCTACTTTAATATGGTCAATTCTTGGTTTCAAGATATCCATGTTCTACACAAATTTTAGCCACACTTGGATACTGTGCACCTTCAACTGATGGGTGGGTGACAAAGCAGAACCTGAATCAATATATAACTTTATGAGGCCAACCAACACTGAGATTTGCTTGCTAACTGACATTTCCTCTTATTCTGATGTCTGAATCAACTTATAAGACAATTCAGGTGAAAATAAGATGCATCTATGGTTATGAGAGCACAGAGCATCATGGAGTAGAACAATAACAAGGAAACCTAATGATTATGAGAACACAGAGCATCATGGAGTAGAACAATAACAAGGAAACCTTTAACTTCTTTATTGTACAACACAGAACTGAGTTGAGCCGAAAAAATGGCAGTAGCAAATATCATACAAACTGGAGATTTGCCACTTCAAATGTATTACATGTAGGAAAACCTCATCAGGTATACTTATTTACATGGAACCTGGAAACTAAGTTTATTATGATCCTGATTTACCATGATGAATCTTAGCGGCTTGTGCACTAGTTGTGGTCATGAAAGATTCTCCACAGCCGCACTTTCCTGTAGCATTTGGATTGACAAAGATAAACTCAGATCTGCAAAAACATGAATATGTTAAGACTTGACCATTCTCTATGCTGCCTATGCATGCATACGGACATACAGTTTTCTAAACAACCACCTTTCAGATATCCACCCCTGCAAATTACGGATATGTTCGGAACTCCAAAAATGCAAATAAAATAAAATAAAATTGCCAAGGAAACTCAAGTTTAATTATTTATTATTTCAAGTAGTATTATTATTTAAAAAATGTACACTTATGAAGATCTTTTAGTGTTTTAGTAATACAAGTGGAAATATATAAATAAAAAGGGTTTGAAGTTTGAACCGATATCCAAAATTGATCTATTCCGCCTAAACCATTTTTTTGTAATTTTCCCCTACATTTTCACCCCTTACGAATTTACCCTATATTTCCACCCTATTTTCTTCCCTTTGCCTTTTCTGAGTTCTGAACAGACTTGGGACACCACAAGAGTGTGTTAATGTAGACTGAACAACCTAAGACCATCGGCCTATTCAGATGCATACTTACTTTCTCTCAAGACACATTCATCTTAAACAAAACCTAGAAAAAGATTTATTATTCGATTAATAAATTCCACGTTTGGTCCTATGAGTATCGCACCAATTCCACAATTGGCCCACGTTTTAGACTTTAAACACTTTTGGTACATGACAATTGTGTTTTCGCCCATGTATGATCATTCCGTCAATGTTTCCGGTGGTTAAAATCGCCTTAAAAGGGCCACAAATGGTCAAGAAACATTAAACTATGTTTAATGTAATCAAGTACCAAAAGTGGATAAAGTGAAAGACGTGGACTAAATGTGGAATTGACATAAAATTATGGAATTAATTGTTATTTGATAGAAGCTATTTGATAGAAGCCCATCAGACTAATTCAAACATAAAGTCAAAAACAAGCTTCAGATATTGAGCGACAAATCATGAAAGTGTTGATCACAATAGGGACACTACTCATGCTATAATTAAAGAAAGAAGGCAAACACAGATCCACTAGAATCCAGCATCCCCATAAATGTGCACTGTGTTAATTTATCTTAGGGTATGTTCGGATTGAGGGAATTGGAGGGAAGGGGCGATAAGCAAAATTCATATTCAATTAACATAATTCAAAAGCCCTTTAAAGTTTTTTTCCTCCGTGTTGCATTATGTTACTATCTTAAAGAAGCTAGGCTATTATTAGTCTTCAGGGTAAATTTGCACTAACTTCTCTAAGAGAAAAAAACATTTTGTTATCCCAATTTTACTTATAAAAAGTTATCAATAAAAAGTATTTGGTAAATAATGAAATGAGAAAGGCATAAACGTTAGCTCACTAAAATTACTAAAATTATCCAATAAAATGAAGTCCATGAGATGTGAATCATGTGATGTTAAGATATCTGCTCAAACCATCCGATCTCCAAATCCAAAGTACTTAAGCTATGAACAGATAAACAAAATTTTTATTTGCAATCAAGAAAGATAATGAAATAGGAAAGGCAATAGGAACCTGAGCTTGTCATCAATAAAGTCCATCTGGGTTCCTAGAACATGCATGAGCGCCTTCGGATCGATCAATATCTTCACACCCTTATCTTCAACCAATTCATCGAACTTCGCTTTCTCGTCTATATAGTATAAACCCAAGTCAAATATATACCACAGCTATAGTTCCGCAAAGTTAACACAAACATTATTATATGGGAAAATTAGTAACTCCCAAACTAGAGTTAACCCTAATCGTCAATTGCATTCTGATCAATTCGATTACCACAATTTATCCATGGAAATGTTTGAAAATATTTTCCTAGAAGAGATCGGTGATGGTGGTGATCAGAGTTGGGAGGAGGCTGACCTGCATAATTGAGGGTGTAGGATAAGCCGTTGCAGCCGCGAGCCTTGACGCCGAGCTTGAGGAAAGTCCGCTGGCGATGCTCTAACAGCTGGCGTATTCTAGCCGCTGCCGACTCCGTTAAACTAAGAACTTGCTTTCTCATTTTTTTTCGGACGTTCTCGGCGCACTCCTGTCAATCTTTGAGCATCGAAAAAAGTGTATGGTGACAATTATGAGTACAAGCCGGTTACCGTTTACACATCCCTCAAATTGTATGTATAAAGATATGATCGGCTAGACAGATAATTTGACCGGCGTTTTATGAAAAAATCGATTTACATACAGACAAAATATTAAGAGTTGTCTGTATCACAGACATTTTAAACCTGAATTTTTCATAAAGTGTTGGTGATACAGATATTTTTTTATTTTTATCTGTGTGAAAATTGGTTTTCTTCGTAAATCGCCGCTCAATATGTCAAATTGTCTGCACACAGACAATTTGACATGCGTGTAACCCGGCGTGTAAAACTTGGCATCTATAAAAGGAATTTTCCGACAATTATACCCTCCTGCAATTTATTTAGTTTTTAATTACGCCTTTGGAGTTTGGACCCTAGCCTGTTTCTTCTCGTACTCTTTTATGCTATATTACTTTTATTGCTTAGCCAATTAAAATCTTTAATTAATTGGCATATATTCCAGCTCAAAAATTGTGAATCAGTATAAAATTGATGGTCATAGTCAGTTAAATCTTGAATCTTTGAGGTGCACGACCATTTAACAAAATGATTTTTTTAAAAACGATGAAATTTTAAAAACTGAAACAAAATACTCCCTCCGTTCATATTTTATCTTTCAAATAGTTTTAGCAGACAATTTAAGATAGTGGGTATTGTGTGGTGGAGAGTTGTGCAGAGGAGAGAGAAATGTGTATGAAATATTATTATTATTAGAAATTTTATCAATTCAGAACCTATTCAAGAAAAAAGCAAGTTCGGCTTTGCACCGAGAACGTCCGAAAAAAGCAAAAACACCCTAAAAAAAGAAAAAACACCCTAATAGAATCGGTTCCAATGTTTAAGAGCCCGTTTGGTGATCCTGTTTTTTGGCATATCAACCTTATCAGTCAACTTTTTCATCAAAGACATACCTTTTGAATTCGTGCGCTGAATTGTATAATAAAAATTAGTAAGATTGAAGTCACTTTTATGGCTGATTGGCTGAAGTAACCGTAGATGATCATTTCAGCTATTTTATATATAATTTTTTCTTTATTTTTATTAATAAAATATATTTTAAATAAAATTTCTCATTATTCAGCAGAAACAGCCAATTCAACTACGTCAAACAGAATATCATGAATTCCATTAGAATCGATTCCAATATTATCATACGCGCTCTTGATATTTCTATTTTGATTTATAAGATATACAAAAGACAAATTGATGAAAATTGCAAATAAAAGTAAAAATTAAAATTTACTTCTAAATAATAACACGTTGTTCCAAATCTATTTAACGAAATGATTTTTTTGTTGCAAGGGACAATGAATTTTTGAAAGGACTAAAAGTTAAAAGGCATCAACCAATTTAAAATATTTAGAACGGCACATGGTCATTAGTTAATGCGAAAAAGAAAATGTAAAAAAGCGTATATTTGTCTTAGTGAAGTTGCATTAAGTAATTTAGGTGGTCACTACAAAAAAAGGGTGTAATACCGACGAACTTTCCAACGGATTTTAGCGAAAAAGACGTTGGAAATGATATTTCCAACGAAGTACCGACAGAAATTGGCCGTGGGAATACAAGGGGTGGAAAATTTTCCAACCACCATTTCCAACGGATTTTGAAACGTTCCAGCGGAATTCCGACGGATAAATATGTAGGAAAGTTCCAACGGATGAGTTCGTAGGAACCTTTCATTTCAAGCTCACCGGCGACCGACGAGTTTCCAACCGATTAATCGGTTGGAAAGTTAATAAAAATTAGCTAGTTTCAACATAATAATTAATTGGATTTAAATTACATATTCTGGATGAATGTACTAACAGACCACTAGATGTTAATTTTTTTCTTTTTATTTATAATTGAGTGCTAGCTAGTATTGTAACATTGTAGAAAATCACCACCAACAAAACTACACAATATAGAACACAATCTCAAAACATGGCATAAAAAAGTAGTATTCTGGATAGTTAAAACACAAACAAACAACATAAAACAAAAGTTTGACAAATTAAAGGAAATTGTTCATTACACAACACCACCAAAAACTCAAATTCCAATAACTTCTTCATTGGCCTCCTTCATTTCCTCTCTCATTTGCAGCAAATATAGTGCTCAGAAATGTGTCATCCAGAGTTGTGCTATTACGGTTTTGTAGAGGAATGAATTCAAATGGCACTTGAGAAGGCATAGAGGGATGAAGTGGCACAGATTGCTGTCCGGACATGTAGCCATTCGGGTACATTGTTGGGTAATAAGGGGCCTGTTGTGCGTGCAAATTATGAGTCATCCCGGATGGAACCGTAGGAAACATAGAGGTATGAAGCTGAGACATAAGACCTTGTGTCATATTTGGATTTGAAAGGTTGTTCGACCCATGAGTAGAATCCATCTCCCGCCTCACCATCATTTGTCCTATTTGATCCATTACGACGATTTAAAAGCATTGAAATCATCAAGCTTCACATATTGGGTCTGTCTACTCGATGTGGTATCTAATGAACCATTGCACATACAGTAAAGGGATCCACCCCAAATATTTTGCCTTTTTTTGGAGATACCACTTTAAAAAAAAACTGCATTTTCATCGACTTTTGTTCCCTCTTCGGAGTCTTGTTTTTTACGGTCTACCTCTGCTGCAACTTTTTCCTAATTAAGATCACAATTTCAATAAGTACTACATTAAAAAAAGGGAGAATTTGAGTTTGCACCCCATTTTTAAAATCATTAATGTATGCACCCTATTAACCCAAAAATTGTGAAGGAGTGGGGAGCAAAGTCAAATGATTTTATAGTGAATTGGGGTGCATACATTAATGATTTTGAAAATAGGGTGCAAACTCAAATATCATCCAAAACAAGGGGTGCAAAGTCAAATTCTCCCTTAATTAAACTGGAAGTAATTGCAATACTACTTGTAAATAAACTGGAAGTAAACTGGAAACATCAAATACACAGACTAAACATAATAATGCACTAAAAGTAATTATGACATGATATTCCTCAATACTTATATTCTAAGCCAAAAAATATAAATACTCGTGTATTGAAACTGAAAATGCGCAAAACAGCACAAATATAATTATACCGCAATCTCTTGAGCTCGTGGACCACTCCATTCATTAGTTCCTTTTTTTGAAACCCGTCTTTGAGAAGCTCAGTAGCCAGCGGTGTCCTACCCAATTGCAGAGCCTGTTTAAAAATATATAATCAATAAATCATTCCACACCGCCTAATTTAATATAAATAGTACCTTAAACGGAAAAACTTACTAATCGTTCCGCTCTAACTTTTTGAGAAACAAACCCTCCACAATATGGTGAGCTTCTACATGATTCAGAAGAGCTATTTGCTTTGTTTGTTTCTGACTTCTTTTTAAACTTTTCAGATGCCCACTCCTCTAGCATTAACTTCCAATTTACTGCAGATATCCATGGGACCCTTTTTTTCTTTCGGGCTTCACTAAACACACCCTTCAACCACACTGAACATTTAGAGTTAAAAGCACGTTGGATTTCAGATTCTTCAGCTCGGGGGTATGTGTGGTTCCGCTACATAAAACATAGATTTATACTGAAAGTAAAATACCAAACAAAAAAAAATTATACACAAATTTGATATGCTCCAGTTTACCGCAAACTCCCTAAACCATGACTCGCGATAAGGCTTAGGTACATCTCCATAACAAATCCACGGTCCCCTGTAAGATCCTTCTAATATCTTTTTTATCTCGTTGAGAACTTTTTTCCTACAACTATTTAACATAAAAAAATGAATATGTTAATGAATTATATATTCTGTTCATAATAGTCAGAAGTAATACTTATTGCGTAATATCAAATAATTACCTGGTAAAGTCTTAAACTATTTTGAATTTGAACAAAAGTATAGTTGAAATTATTAACATGAAGAAAAAGCAGATAATACCTTTTATCATTCACATTATTCAGAACAAATATATACTCCATCTATCCCACAATTAAAATGACAGTTTGACTTAACGGTCTTCCAGATGGACACTTGACCGCAATTATCTATAAATATATATATATATATATATATATATATATATATATATATATATATATATATATATATATATATATAATCTGTAGTGAATTGACATTTGAATAATGCATATTACAATGAGGCACATAATAGGTACTTTAGTTGAGGGATGGAGGAGGTATTTAAGTAACGCGTTCAACAATTCAAGTGTGCTATCCCAGTAACTTTATCAACTCATTTTAGCATAGTTCAGCTCACCAAACAGACTACGCATGTAATAGCAGATGTAGAAAAAGGAAACACCAAAAGAGTGGCCTAATGCCCTTATTATTAGCTTGAAAGAAATCGTTTTTTCAAACTCTCCCACATGGCAGGACCATCTGGATGTACATTAACATAATACTTAAAAAAACGTGTTTCTGTGGAAGCAAGAATAGTGCTTAATGTCAGCGTAGGACTCAACGCCCCCCTTTGCTTCGCCCATTCATACATGGATAATCTACATTTTATTCTGTAATTACCATAGGTGAGAAATGTGGGGAAACACACAATTGATTCCACACCAAACGATGAATACTTCTTCACATTCTCAATCTTCTTCAGAATCTCTTCTTTTGTACCATTCAACATCTTTGGTTCATTTTGAACTATTCAAATGAATTTGAGTAATTGGTCTCATGTTTACATTTGAACTAATCTACATTTTTTGAAGTATGAAACACTTTTTTCTAGATTGACCTGTCAAGGGTTATCAGTAACCAATGCTAAAGGCATGCATATCCAACTTACAAATTTTATATTTACTGTCATTAGATTATAACATATATAAATTCAAAGCAAACAAATCACACTATGTTATTTGACAACCAAGGGCAAGGAATCAATAAGAATAACTAAGACATGGTCAAATTAAAATCACTTTTCAGAGAAATGTTTTATACGGTTCAAAATATAGGCTCATATATTTAACATTTGCTATGTATAAAAGAGATTGCACTTCATGTTAAATCTGAGACATTTAATATAGTGTAGCAACATACCTACCTCACTGACCGAGATGCTACACGGCTTGAGTGGGTTAGACTGTAACTCGTGTGACAGAGGACAGAGACACGACGGTGAGTACCCTCACACAACGACGCACTGTAGTATGCCGTGCGGGTGGTGCAGCGATGAATGGAAGTCGTCAGGTGGTAGATTGCGAGCCGATGAGTTCATAAAATTACCAAATGAGTTAAATCAAAGAAGTATTTTAGTTAACATGGCGATTAGGAAAAATCAATTGTATACAATGTATAAGTTTCAGTATTGAGAAGAGAAGGAAGAAGATAGGTGAACCTGGAGATTTCGAACAGTTTGCTATGCGGCCAGTTTGCTATGCGGCCATCCAGTTTGCTATGCGGCCATCCAGTTTGCTCACTCCGCAGAAGATAGGGTTTAAGGTATATGTTTCAGGCCTTGCTAATTTCTCCCAACCGATTGAAAAGCCCACTAACATACCTATTAGTTACACTTGCACTTTTTTTAATTTTGTCATTTATAATTTTTGTTGTGAGGAGTTAGGAGATTTTTACTTGGACCGTAAGATTGTTTTTAGTTGGATTGTAATTTGTCCCAGATCAGACCAGACTAGATCAAAACAGACCAGACCAGACTAGACTAAAACAGACCAGATAAGATCAGACCATATTATTATTATTATTATTATTATTATTATTATTATTATTATTAAAAAATAAAATTTCAGACCAGCCCAGACCAGACCAGACCAGACCAGACTAAAACAGATCAGACCAGACCAGACCAGACTAAAACAGACCAGACCAGACCAGACTAAAACAGACCAGACCACACTAAAACAGACCAGACCAGACCAGACCCACAAATTATAGTCCAAGTAAATTATTTATACTTTTGATTTAAAAAAATTACTTCTATCCATAAAATTTTGTCAAATTTCATTTTTTATTATGTCACTAAATTTGTTAATTACTTTTGATAACGAAAAGTGCACACAATTTCAACAACATTGAGTTAATCACCGTAAATTACAAATTTATTATTCATTGTTCTACTAAAATAAAAACAAACTACAAAGTCCATCTAAACCTCTTCATCTGAGTTGTTATTATCTTCTTCACATATTACGTCATCTGGATCACTTTGATTATTGTCTTCTTCTCCTCTTTCGTCTTCGTCTCCATATTCTTCAGCGTATTCAGTAACATTCTGAGCAATATCATCAGTTGGAGTAGCTTGAAGAACTTCGACTAAAGGAATATCTATCTCTATTCCAGGATCTTGTAACTCTATAAAGCCCTCCATAACATCAACAATAGGAGGTGGTTCAGTTTCCTCAACTTGGTATGGTTCATCATCAACACTCTTCCATTCTCCTTGAATAACATTCCTTGCTCTAACTTTGCACGCACATTTCCAACCACGTAGTGATGCGGTACGGCCCATTGGGTATTCAAGAAAGAACACTTGTGTTGCTTGTTGTGCTAAGATAAATGGCTCAAAAACTCGATAAACACAATCAAGCTTCACATCAACAATATTATATTTGTCATGTGCTCGCATACCACGCACAGGATCAACCCATGTACAATTGAACAACACAACTTGTAGCTTTAGAGGACTAAGTATTTCCACCTCGAGTACCTCTTCTAAAGTCCCGATCCAATCTGTACTTGAGTTATTGTAATTTGAAGAACGAACACATACTCCACTATTATATGTTTTTTTCCCAATTCCATAAGATCGAGTATGGAATGTATAACCACCTACTATGTATGCAGGTCGTGATTGAGCCCGGGAATTTAAACCGCACGCAAGTGCTGTTATTAAGGGGTCAGAAACTCCATTATAAGGATTCATCACCTACAATTACACAACATCATAGGTCATTTTAAAAAAAGATACATGAATAACTAATGTGTGTACAAAACTTACATAAGCACTAAACCATTCTGAGAAGTCTCTGGCGATAATGTGATCCACATTACTGTGACCTTGTGATTCAATGAAGTCCGAAAAAATTCTGCGATAGTAGTCATTTGTGAATAACATTCATTGTATAATGCATATTATATGATGATAAACACAATACTCACAAGTAAAAATATTCTTACTCGTAATATGGTCTCACTTCTGCACAATTAAGTAAGATATATGTGTATGCAACTTTTAATTCTTCACCAACAATGTACCGTAAAGTAGACTTCCCATGTCCACGACCAGGATGATTGAAAATTGAGAACCTCATTGAACTTGAAGAAGATGAAGCAACATCATCGTTTCGAGAAGGTCTAATACGTTTAGAACGTATTGGTGTTTCAAAGTAGTAAGAGGCAAACATTGATAATTCCTCAAAAATGTATGCACTACATATGGATGCCTCAATATGCGCTTTATTGGTGATTTTCTTTTTTAGGCTCCCAAGAAACCTGCAATTATAATAATGCATTTATAATAGTAAATACTACAATATATATAGTATTTTGTAAAATATATATATATTATTGATTTACCTCTCAAACATATACATCCATCTGTATTGCACTGATCCACACACTCTTGCTTCATAGGGTAAGTGAGCGATTAAATGTACAGATGCAGTAAAGAATCCCGGTGGAAATATTTTCTCCATGTTTCACAGCAGAAGAATAACATATTTCTCTAATTGTTTAAGCAATTCAACATCTACCACACGTGTGCACAGGGTTTGGAAGACTTGACTTAGCTCAGCAATTAACTGCCACACAGTTTATGGGAGCATTTCACGAAACGCTATCGTGATAAGTCTTTGCATAAAAACATGGCAATCATGACTTTTCATATGCACTACTCTTAAACTGTCTGCACTAATACATCTACGAAAGTTAGATGTGTAACCATCTAGGAATCTGATAGAAGCAATCCATTCAAGTATGACTTTTCTCTGTGCACTTGTAAGTGTGTATACAGCCTTATTGATTTTATCAACAAAATCAGAGGTCACACCTATGTTAGGACGATCACAGTAAATTCCAACATCCTTTCGTGCCTTCAAGTTATCTTTCGTCCTTTCTTTGTCATTCATTACTGTATAAAATAAATTGTCAAACACATTCTTCTCAATGTGCATAACATCCAAATTGTGTCTGACTAATAAATTTTTCCATTACGGGAGATCCCAAAATATACTTTTTTTTGTCCACTTATGAATTGTCCCATAACCTTCAGGTAATTCACGGGGATCATCCACTGTTGTATCCATCACCGCTATGCGATCATATATTTGTGTCCCCGATAATCTAATAGGTGGACGACTAGTTTCCTTTCTTCCTTTTGTGAAGGAACTTACATCTCTACGATATGAGTGATTGCGTGGAAGGAATTGTCTATGACAATCAAAATAACATGCTTTTCCACCATACTTAAGGTGGAAAGCCTTGCTATTTTCCATACAAATAGGACATCCTAAAATCCCAGCAGTACTCCAGCCTGATAGCATCCCGTATGCAGGAAAGTCACTAATTGTCCACATTAAAACAGCTCGCATAGAAAACATTTCATTTTTTGCCACGTCATACGTTCTAGAACCCTCATCCCAAAGATGTTTCAACTCATCAATAAGCGGTTGTAAATAAATATCAATTTTTCGTTTAGGACACATCGGACCAGGAATAATGAGAGATAAGAACATCTATGGAGATTTCATGCACATACAAGGAGGAAGGTTGTACGTCGTGAGAATAACTCGCCAACATGAATACGATGCACCATACTGCCCGTGTGCAGCAAATCCATCAGAACACAATCCCAATCGAACGTTACGTGGATCTGAGGCAAAGTCGGGATATAAATTGTCAATGTGTTTCCACGCCTCATTATCAGAAGGATGACCCATCAAATTTCCAATTGATTCATGAGTAGAATGCCATATCATGGACTCAGCAGTTTGGCGTGATGCATATAATCTTTGCAGCCTCGTTGTCAAAGGTAGATAACGTAATACTGAAATAGCAGTTCGTTTCTGTCTTTTTGACCGACAATCCTGATATGCATCATATGTGTAACGCTTCTCACCACAAAATGTACACACTTCCAACTTTTTATCATTTTTCCAGAACAACATACACCCGTTAGGACACGCGTCAATCTTCACCACAGGAAGACTTAATTCAGCCACAAGTTTTTTTGTCTCGTAATAATTTCTAGGAACAGTGTTGTCACGGGGTAAGTATCGACCAAATAATTCCAGCCACCGATTGACTTCATCTTGTGGAACATTAAAATCGGATTTGATACTCATTACTTCAGAAACAAATTGCAATTGGGAGCCTTCATTACAACCTTCATACAAAGGCTGATCTGCAGCTTGCAAAACATTTTGAAAATGATCCGCCAAGTATGATATGTCATCTTCATTTGGTGATTCATCTCCTCTTTGTTCTCCACAATTAGGATCGTAGTTTGTGGAGTTTATCGGCACGTGTCCTCCGAAAATGTCTTCTAACATTCTTTGACCCCATGGTGTCTCATCTTGACTCCCTGAATGTGCTCCATGAACATTTTCGGTAGTATGTTCATTTGGGGTTTGAGAATTCAAAAATGTCGAACCTTGTAACAATTCTCCATGAGAAGTCCACGTTTCATAACCGGCAATAAATCCATGTCTAAAAAGATGAAGCTTTACTTCCTCAATAGCATGAAATCGTCGATTACCACACTTCCGACATGGACATCGAATTTCTTCTCCGCCACTAAATTCATGTTGAAGACGAGCGAATTTGAACAAAACTTTCAACACCATTCATGAAATTTGCAGAAACATTTTTTGAAATTGGATCGTATCTATCGTACATCCAACTTCTATCTATCATATACATTATAAAAGTATAGAGACGAAACCAAGATTTAAAAAAAATAGTTTAGGAAGATGAATGGGAGGTGCCTATTATCTTGGCAATTGAAGTGCAATATAAATGGAGGAGGGCCGCAGGGATAAGGTTTGATTCAAATTGATTTCTCCAAATAATTGTCGGTGAGTTTAAAAAATATCTATTCCCTACGGAATTCCAACGAGTTTCCGACGGATTCGAAACAGCTTTCCAATCCCTTGCATCCGAACCGGAAGCCAAATACTTCCAACCGCTTTCCTACGGAATCCCGACGAATTTGTAAATGCTTCCCCACAGATTTCTGACGGATATATCCGTAGCAGGGCTAAATAAATTCCTACGCCATTCCCACCGAATCCCGACGTCATCCGTTAGAACTCCGTCCGAAGTTCGTTGCAAATTTGCCACCACTAAATCGGTTGGAAAACGTCCGTCGGTAATGGGATGCTCTTTTGTAGTGGGTGCGCAAAGTAACTCCCTTTTCTTACTCACGAATTAACCAATTTCTCCGCTTAACCCCTCATAAAACAGTCATCCACTCATTTATATATCCATATGATTCGACTCGGACCCGAATATAAACTATAAAGATGAATGGGTCAGCAGTCACGTCTTTTTTATTTAAATAATTCAGTACAAAGATTGGGAGAGCTCATAAAAAATACAGTGTAATATTTTAGAGAAATGTAATTAAAATTTTTATAAGTATAACATCATGATCATTATACTATAGAATTGAATATAATCATGATCATTGAAATTACTATTAGCCAAAGTATAAAAAGTCAATTTTTATTAGCTATATTTATCTTAGTATATTCATCATTATTTCATTACAGAAAATTCAAACGTAAGGATGTCTTTATTTGGACTGAAATTTTCAGATTTTATCTGATCTATTTATTTCTGGTTTGATATGTCATGATCCGATCTGATTTAGTCTGTTCTGATCTGAAACTGAAATAAGTCCATATAAAAACATCCCTAAGAGTTTCATTATTGTCTTCTCCAGATATTATAATTATTTTAATGAAATTATACTTTAGTATACATTTTATTGTGAGGACATAATTTATTTTATAGTTACTCCTTCTGTTCCATTGGAAAGTTCTCAGTTTTCTTTTTTAGATGTCACATATAAAGGTTCTCATTTTCATTTTAGAAAACAATTAACAATCTTAAGTGACAAATTAATCATTAAATGTTAAAAATAATACATTTATAACATCACAGTTATCAATGCTAACTAATTTCGAGTATAATACTATCATTAGACATATATTTCGAGTATATTTTGAGAAATAAAATAATAGATATACATTTAGTAGTATTATTCTTTATCGTAGTAAAGAATAAATATTTTAATTTTTTTAATATGTTAATAGATGTTTATTACAATAAAATTATATATGATAGTTGACCGGATTTTGTAGCGTTGACCGGGTTGACCCACCGGGTCCGGGTTGACCCGTGACCCGATCATTCGTCCGGGTCGTTTCCCGGTCCGGTTTTTACAACATAGGCATGAATAAGCATCTTATGGTTTGATGACATCACAGTAGCACTATCGGGAAGAATGTCACATATTTGAAACTTGTCCCTATCAAGGAGTTACGTTTACGAGAACATGCACTATTCAAAAAAGCCTTTTGTACACACTCTTATACACATTTTTGTACGCACCTATGTTTGTGAAACGTTTTTTTGTCTATGAACATCGACTCACAGACAATGTTTTGCACAAACAAAATATTGTCTGTGAACCGGATTCACAGACAAAAAAAAACATCACAAACATGGTGTGTATAAGGTGTGTACAAGAGTGCGTACATAAAGCAATTTTGTGTACTATTTGGATAAGAAAGTACTCCCTCCGGTCCCTATTAAAATTCCCAGTTTGACTTCACACAGATTAAGAAAATAAATTTGATTTTACTGTGGAGTGCACTGTTTGGCACTGTTTGGATACTATTTGACACTGTTTGACACTGTTTTGCATTGTTTTATTTCCTACAATGAAAGTGTGAACTTAAATAAGGGACATCCCAAAAAGAAAAATGAGAACTTTAATACGGACAGGAGGGAGTATACAACAACAAAAAGGTCGAAGTGGCATATACCAACAATGGCGGAAAATATGATAGTTCCGCATAACTCTATCCAAGTATCATAATGTGCAATAAAGTGTGGGGAATGTCAGAAAATGTGTACGCTATAATTTAAATTTTATAAATAATTAATCTATGTCTCTCATGTTGTTAATAAATGTTTTTAATTTGACCGAAATTTTATGAATTGGTTTGGTTTAGGTTGAAGTGATATGACCTCATCTAATAGATGTCTATGATACTTCCTTTGTTCCTATTATAACTTCCACTTTTCCTTTTTGGTAAAGAATTTGTGGTTCACAACATATTTTTCTTTTCTGCATAACTCTCCACCACACAATACTCACTATCTTAAATTGTGTGCCAAACAACTTGAAAGTTATAATAGGAACGCATGTAGTATATTTTTTACTATTGTCAGTCTTGTATGGGTTAATATAATATGGTTTAGCCTATTTGAGACTTTTCTATTATGATAGGGCCCGTTTTGATTTATTCTGATAATGAAATCAATCCAATTAAACACATTCTGATCATCCCCTTAATAACTCTACAATTCTTACTAACACGGTGGCTGCTTTTTCATCGTACACATTACCTTTTATTTCTATTTCTTTTCGTTCACCAGATGAGTTCTTCTTTCCTAATTGGATATAGCTGATCGGCAAAACACTTATTGCACCCGTTCCTCTAGCCTCTCGGTCGAGATGCTTTAAAAGCTCTTTCCAACGTCTTAAAGACCTGTCTAGCGAATGATGGTTCATACAATGACATAATTAGGTAAAACATCTCATCCTCTTCAATCGGTCAATATATGAGAAATATTCACTTCTAGTACTTGATCGTTAATTTTTTCTTTATTTTATTAATAAAATATAATGCACTTTGAATATGCACAGTACTACTTCCGTTCCTATCATAACTTCCAAAAAAGTTTGACACACAATTTAAGATAATGGGTATTGTGTGGTGGAGAGTTGTGCAGAGGAGAGAGAAATGTGTAAGAAATGTTGTGAACCACAAATTCTTTACCAAAAAGGGAAAATAGAAGTTTTAATTGGAACAGATAAAAAAGAAAAGTTGGAAGTTATAATAGGAACGGATGGAGTATCTTTTATCATTCGAATCGGACAAATTAACATTTCATGTCATTATTTCAACAATTTCAATAAATGAATATTCCATCAACTTTAAATTTTTAACAATCCCACACACGCTCTAACTAATGATAAAATGTGTGGGTTTATCATTAAGGATCTGAAATTTAATATTGTTGTTACAAAGCGTGAATGATTGAAAACTATTAATCAAATATCTAAAATATCATAAATTTATAATTCTTTCATTTCATTTTTTTGCTGATTTTTGATGATTTTTTCTTCGCAAAATTTATTAATTTAAAAAAAATAATAAAAATTGAAACATCTCAAACTAAAATATCACACAATTTTAATTCTTAGACTGATGTTTTCAGTCACTTATGTTTTCAATCACTTATGCCGTATAACTTTCATTTTAAAGTCCTTGATACGCATATTTGAGATCATACATTTATAAAATTCGAAATAGTAAAGAAGGCAGCTAGATCACTTATGTCCAACCGTAGGCTCACTCGGTCAAGCTTTGTCATGTGGAGGGAAAAGAGATTCAGTCTAGGCGGATAGCTAGTTGCTGTCTTTTTAGGGGAAAAGAGACTCGGTTTGTGCGAAAATTAAAATCAGGCCATAATAATAAAAGGATGCAGCTCATCTTCATTTCTTTCTCTTCATTTTCTCTCCATTTCCTTTTTACTTTCTATCTATCTCTACCTTTTTCTATATCTTATTCATCAACATATCTCACTCTTAATTTTATCCTCTCTATCTCTCTCATAATGGAACTCTCCAGTTAATGGAGAGGATCCAAATTCATAATAAAAGAAAGAGTTTAGTTAAGAAAAACATTACTGAGTGAATATATTGACGGTGTTGGGTTGCATAAAAAACTGAATTGACTGGTTGAATATGTATAAAATGGTAAGAGATGGTTGATTTATTGACGAAGATGGTTGTGGTTAGCCTAATATTCTAATCTCACTTTTTATATACACCCCTGTTGCATGTGTATGTAGCTCATTTTTGAAAAAAGCACTAATTGTGTGTACACCGTGTACATATATATAGTTCATTTTGAAAAAGTCATTAATTGTGTGAGTACATTGTACATAAAAAGTTTACACTCTTTGTGTACATGGGGGGCGGGCTAGGGTAGGCTTCACCCCACCTCACCCCAACTATTTTTAATTATAGGTATAGATTTATATAAAAAAATATGGTCTTCAGCCCAGGCCAACCCAAAAGCCCAATTAAATGAAACTCTTAAACATTAAATTAATATGTAATTCATAATTTTAGTTCTTGTAATTTTTGATACTATGTACATCATAATTTCACATACATTTAAATATTAGAGAATAATTTCATACAAAATCAGCATGCATATTATGCATATAAAATTAGCATGAATATTATACATCGAAACAATGAAATCAATATTTACCTATAACAAAATGGAGCTCGAGTTTGGCTCGATAGATTTTTAGTGATTCAAGCGTTCGATAAACAAGCTCAAAAATAGAAGTTTAAACTATACTCGTTAATAGATTCATGTTTGAATTATTCAATAAATACTCGAATCTTTAATAATCATTAACAAATTTTTAAAACTGTACTGAAAACGTTTAAATTAAAGATATATATATATATAATTTGTTCTTATAATTTATAAATGATCAATAGACACGGGTCTTGTTATAGACATATATTACGATTGATATTGTTGGGAAAAACTTATCAAAAACACGTAAGATCATGGAAAGAAATATGAAGAAATGTTATGATTTTATTTTTTCCGTGTCTGTCCCGTTCATTTCACATATACACTGTGCATGTTATGACATTGGAAATACTCTTATAAGTCGAGCAAATTTTTCCTTTTAGTTAAAAATTCCATTTATTATTGAATTAGATAAAGTTACAAAGATGGAAGAAGTCAGTAATATGCGAACTTGTCAACTGTCTGAATGGAACTAGTGAATTAGATGCAGCATTAATGTGCACGAAAATTTTACTGTTGCGGACCGACATTCGGCCATTTGGGCTATATATATAGTAGGCCGGATCTACCTTAGAAGGAATAAAATGAACTGAAAGAAGATAAGGGTGCTAATTGGCCGGAGGCAATGATGATGGTAGCCAAAAAATCAATCTTCTTTCTGTTATATCTCTTCGCCGCACAGTATTCTGGCTCTAGTGCTCTTCTTCCAAACAACACTTCAACTTCTGGTATGTAATTTCATCTAATTTTCTAAAATGGGATGTGGGGTGGATCTGTTTTTAAAATTGAAGTAGCAAAAGAAAATATTGGGATGCTTGTGTGAAAGTACAGAAATACAGATACTTATTATGGTGCTTTATATTATTTTTAGAGATGATTTTTTAGAAGTCGTTTAAGACCAATTTCTGAAAAAAGAATTCAAATACAACGAACTCGCGCACAAAGTGCACTTTTATAACAATATGAGTGACAAAGGACATGATGCTTTTTCACACCTAAGACTCGTATTTTTTTCCCACCCCTCTATTTTCACATCTTTTTCTTAACTTTTGGTCTTATAAATATATAGGCTTACAAAACGTTTCTATTATCAAAATAGTAGACCAGTTATCATCGTAACACAACAAAAAAAGTTGGCTAATATTCTTCGGAGATGTCTAACTGTATTTGAGAACATTTAATTAGAATTTGTGTCTATTTTTTCAATGAAAGTTTATCCTTGAATCCCCAATACAGTGAAGTTATTCCATTAACAATGAGAGATGATATGGTCTTCCTATTTATCCTGCCACTTAGATTGAGATTGATTTTTTTCTACTCCGGGGTCTGGGGAGGGGTGTGGAGTAATCCGAGATGAAACTCACTCTATTAGATTCAAACTCTTGTGTGTCTAGTGAGTTTCGAATTCGAGAGCTCTCACTAGATACGATAAACTTACAACCAGTTGGGTTGGAATGCTTGGTTTGGAGAATGAATTTATCAACATAATCATCTCAAAAAAATTGAATGCTTGGTTTGGAGAATGAATTTATCAACATAATCATCTCAAAAAAATTGAGTGACTAAAAGAGACAAAACTTGTTAGGTTTCATAGCTTTCCTTTTTGTGAATGCTCCCCTACTATTTTCTCTCATTAAATTTTTGGACATGTTTTATTTTGAAATTTGTAGATCTGCTTTGGAAGGGAGGAGCTATAAATGAAAAACGCAAGCTGGCGAGTGGGGGTTTTAGAGGAATTGGATCCCGAGGCGGCGCCAGATCATTTTTGCCTCGCGGGTCGCCGATCTTAAGTACCGGAAGTTCCAGCCGCAACTCCCATCACAACGCCGCCGCTGGCAAGAATCCCACGACATTATATACGACAACCCTCTTGTATGGAGCTGCTCTTTTTGTATTTCTGGCTTGAATCGAACCAGTGCATAATTTGCTAAACCCTTTTCCCTTTATTTCCTTGTTATTCTACATTTCATTACAAACAAAATATCCAGCAATATTTAATTGAAGTTTTTACCTCATTACAATCAATATTACTAATAACTGATTGATCGACAAAAAGTGTCATTTTATTCAATTTCCCAAAAATGTGACTGAAATACTACGATTACAATTCCAGCCGATACAACAACGATGCTAAATTACGATTTTACAGTGACATCACCACAGTGAAAATATTACAGTGGCAACACCACAGTGATTCCATTCCAAAGTGTCTACCGCCCACTTGCCAAAGTGACACCACCACCAGTGAGAAACCACAACTCTGGTCAGAGTGACATGCAGACTCCGGCCATAGTGACACACAACTCCCCATCCCCAGTGCTTTTGGGTGTTCAATGGTTTTTTACAATTAGAAATATAAAGAGTAATAAAAAATTATACTCCGTACTAAATTTATACATATATACTTATATGTTTCTCAAAAGTTTAAGTGTTCATGTGAACACTTTGGATCAAGTGTGGCTCCGTCAGTGTCCATCACTCCCCTGCTTCTCACAGCCCCCTCAGTCCCGTCCCCAACCTACCCCACCTTAGTGACGCCGCCAACCACCTCCGTTGACCATCATCGTGATCCACCACCGACCACCGCCCCACCCCCGGCTTGACTCCTCAGCCCCCTGTCACCTTCTCAACCCCCTTCGATCCCCCAGCTAGCTCCTCAGCCCCCAGCCACCTCCCCATCCCCAAGCCCATATCCCGATCCCCAACTCCCCCACCCCATCTCCCTGGCCGCGGTCACGCCGGTCAGGGGCGTAGGCAGGAGTAAGAGTTGGGTTGACCCGGTACAAAGAATTTTTACAAATAAATTTTTACACATAAATTTAAGACGGGATATAAATTGTCAATGTGTTTCCACGCCTCATTATCAGAAGGATGACCCATCAAATTTCCAATTGATTCATGAGTAGAATGCCATATCATGGACTCAGCAGTTTGGCGTGATGCATATAATCTTTGCAGCCTCGTTGTCAAAGGTAGATAACGTAATACTGAAATAGCAGTTCGTTTCTGTCTTTTTGACCGACAATCCTGATATGCATCATATGTGTAACGCTTCTCACCACAAAATGTACACACTTCCAACTTTTTATCATTTTTCCAGAACAACATACACCCGTTAGGACACGCGTCAATCTTCACCACAGGAAGACTTAATTCAGCCACAAGTTTTTTTGTCTCGTAATAATTTCTAGGAACAGTGTTGTCACGGGGTAAGTATCGACCAAATAATTCCAGCCACCGATTGACTTCATCTTGTGGAACATTAAAATCGGATTTGATACTCATTACTTCAGAAACAAATTGCAATTGGGAGCCTTCATTACAACCTTCATACAAAGGCTGATCTGCAGCTTGCAAAACATTTTGAAAATGATCCGCCAAGTATGATATGTCATCTTCATTTGGTGATTCATCTCCTCTTTGTTCTCCACAATTAGGATCGTAGTTTGTGGAGTTTATCGGCACGTGTCCTCCGAAAATGTCTTCTAACATTCTTTGACCCCATGGTGTCTCATCTTGACTCCCTGAATGTGCTCCATGAACATTTTCGGTAGTATGTTCATTTGGGGTTTGAGAATTCAAAAATGTCGAACCTTGTAACAATTCTCCATGAGAAGTCCACGTTTCATAACCGGCAATAAATCCATGTCTAAAAAGATGAAGCTTTACTTCCTCAATAGCATGAAATCGTCGATTACCACACTTCCGACATGGACATCGAATTTCTTCTCCGCCACTAAATTCATGTTGAAGACGAGCGAATTTGAACAAAACTTTCAACACCATTCATGAAATTTGCAGAAACATTTTTTGAAATTGGATCGTATCTATCGTACATCCAACTTCTATCTATCATATACATTATAAAAGTATAGAGACGAAACCAAGATTTAAAAAAAATAGTTTAGGAAGATGAATGGGAGGTGCCTATTATCTTGGCAATTGAAGTGCAATATAAATGGAGGAGGGCCGCAGGGATAAGGTTTGATTCAAATTGATTTCTCCAAATAATTGTCGGTGAGTTTAAAAAATATCTATTCCCTACGGAATTCCAACGAGTTTCCGACGGATTCGAAACAGCTTTCCAATCCCTTGCATCCGAACCGGAAGCCAAATACTTCCAACCGCTTTCCTACGGAATCCCGACGAATTTGTAAATGCTTCCCCACAGATTTCTGACGGATATATCCGTAGCAGGGCTAAATAAATTCCTACGCCATTCCCACCGAATCCCGACGTCATCCGTTAGAACTCCGTCCGAAGTTCGTTGCAAATTTGCCACCACTAAATCGGTTGGAAAACGTCCGTCGGTAATGGGATGCTCTTTTGTAGTGGGTGCGCAAAGTAACTCCCTTTTCTTACTCACGAATTAACCAATTTCTCCGCTTAACCCCTCATAAAACAGTCATCCACTCATTTATATATCCATATGATTCGACTCGGACCCGAATATAAACTATAAAGATGAATGGGTCAGCAGTCACGTCTTTTTTATTTAAATAATTCAGTACAAAGATTGGGAGAGCTCATAAAAAATACAGTGTAATATTTTAGAGAAATGTAATTAAAATTTTTATAAGTATAACATCATGATCATTATACTATAGAATTGAATATAATCATGATCATTGAAATTACTATTAGCCAAAGTATAAAAAGTCAATTTTTATTAGCTATATTTATCTTAGTATATTCATCATTATTTCATTACAGAAAATTCAAACGTAAGGATGTCTTTATTTGGACTGAAATTTTCAGATTTTATCTGATCTATTTATTTCTGGTTTGATATGTCATGATCCGATCTGATTTAGTCTGTTCTGATCTGAAACTGAAATAAGTCCATATAAAAACATCCCTAAGAGTTTCATTATTGTCTTCTCCAGATATTATAATTATTTTAATGAAATTATACTTTAGTATACATTTTATTGTGAGGACATAATTTATTTTATAGTTACTCCTTCTGTTCCATTGGAAAGTTCTCAGTTTTCTTTTTTAGATGTCACATATAAAGGTTCTCATTTTCATTTTAGAAAACAATTAACAATCTTAAGTGACAAATTAATCATTAAATGTTAAAAATAATACATTTATAACATCACAGTTATCAATGCTAACTAATTTCGAGTATAATACTATCATTAGACATATATTTCGAGTATATTTTGAGAAATAAAATAATAGATATACATTTAGTAGTATTATTCTTTATCGTAGTAAAGAATAAATATTTTAATTTTTTTAATATGTTAATAGATGTTTATTACAATAAAATTATATATGATAGTTGACCGGATTTTGTAGCGTTGACCGGGTTGACCCACCGGGTCCGGGTTGACCCGTGACCCGATCATTCGTCCGGGTCGTTTCCCGGTCCGGTTTTTACAACATAGGCATGAATAAGCATCTTATGGTTTGATGACATCACAGTAGCACTATCGGGAAGAATGTCACATATTTGAAACTTGTCCCTATCAAGGAGTTACGTTTACGAGAACATGCACTATTCAAAAAAGCCTTTTGTACACACTCTTATACACATTTTTGTACGCACCTATGTTTGTGAAACGTTTTTTTGTCTATGAACATCGACTCACAGACAATGTTTTGCACAAACAAAATATTGTCTGTGAACCGGATTCACAGACAAAAAAAAACATCACAAACATGGTGTGTATAAGGTGTGTACAAGAGTGCGTACATAAAGCAATTTTGTGTACTATTTGGATAAGAAAGTACTCCCTCCGGTCCCTATTAAAATTCCCAGTTTGACTTCACACAGATTAAGAAAATAAATTTGATTTTACTGTGGAGTGCACTGTTTGGCACTGTTTGGATACTATTTGACACTGTTTGACACTGTTTTGCATTGTTTTATTTCCTACAATGAAAGTGTGAACTTAAATAAGGGACATCCCAAAAAGAAAAATGAGAACTTTAATACGGACAGGAGGGAGTATACAACAACAAAAAGGTCGAAGTGGCATATACCAACAATGGCGGAAAATATGATAGTTCCGCATAACTCTATCCAAGTATCATAATGTGCAATAAAGTGTGGGGAATGTCAGAAAATGTGTACGCTATAATTTAAATTTTATAAATAATTAATCTATGTCTCTCATGTTGTTAATAAATGTTTTTAATTTGACCGAAATTTTATGAATTGGTTTGGTTTAGGTTGAAGTGATATGACCTCATCTAATAGATGTCTATGATACTTCCTTTGTTCCTATTATAACTTCCACTTTTCCTTTTTGGTAAAGAATTTGTGGTTCACAACATATTTTTCTTTTCTGCATAACTCTCCACCACACAATACTCACTATCTTAAATTGTGTGCCAAACAACTTGAAAGTTATAATAGGAACGCATGTAGTATATTTTTTACTATTGTCAGTCTTGTATGGGTTAATATAATATGGTTTAGCCTATTTGAGACTTTTCTATTATGATAGGGCCCGTTTTGATTTATTCTGATAATGAAATCAATCCAATTAAACACATTCTGATCATCCCCTTAATAACTCTACAATTCTTACTAACACGGTGGCTGCTTTTTCATCGTACACATTACCTTTTATTTCTATTTCTTTTCGTTCACCAGATGAGTTCTTCTTTCCTAATTGGATATAGCTGATCGGCAAAACACTTATTGCACCCGTTCCTCTAGCCTCTCGGTCGAGATGCTTTAAAAGCTCTTTCCAACGTCTTAAAGACCTGTCTAGCGAATGATGGTTCATACAATGACATAATTAGGTAAAACATCTCATCCTCTTCAATCGGTCAATATATGAGAAATATTCACTTCTAGTACTTGATCGTTAATTTTTTCTTTATTTTATTAATAAAATATAATGCACTTTGAATATGCACAGTACTACTTCCGTTCCTATCATAACTTCCAAAAAAGTTTGACACACAATTTAAGATAATGGGTATTGTGTGGTGGAGAGTTGTGCAGAGGAGAGAGAAATGTGTAAGAAATGTTGTGAACCATAAATTCTTTACCAAAAAGGGAAAATAGAAGTTTTAATTGGAACAGATAAAAAAGAAAAGTTGGAAGTTATAATAGGAACGGATGGAGTATCTTTTATCATTCGAATCGGACAAATTAACATTTCATGTCATTATTTCAACAATTTCAATAAATGAATATTCCATCAACTTTAAATTTTTAACAATCCCACACACGCTCTAACTAATGATAAAATGTGTGGGTTTATCATTAAGGATCTGAAATTTAATATTGTTGTTACAAAGCGTGAATGATTGAAAACTATTAATCAAATATCTAAAATATCATAAATTTATAATTCTTTCATTTCATTTTTTTGCTGATTTTTGATGATTTTTTCTTCGCAAAATTTATTAATTTAAAAAAAATAATAAAAATTGAAACATCTCAAACTAAAATATCACACAATTTTAATTCTTAGACTGATGTTTTCAGTCACTTATGTTTTCAATCACTTATGCCGTATAACTTTCATTTTAAAGTCCTTGATACGCATATTTGAGATCATACATTTATAAAATTCGAAATAGTAAAGAAGGCAGCTAGATCACTTATGTCCAACCGTAGGCTCACTCGGTCAAGCTTTGTCATGTGGAGGGAAAAGAGATTCAGTCTAGGCGGATAGCTAGTTGCTGTCTTTTTAGGGGAAAAGAGACTCGGTTTGTGCGAAAATTAAAATCAGGCCATAATAATAAAAGGATGCAGCTCATCTTCATTTCTTTCTCTTCATTTTCTCTCCATTTCCTTTTTACTTTCTATCTATCTCTACCTTTTTCTATATCTTATTCATCAACATATCTCACTCTTAATTTTATCCTCTCTATCTCTCTCATAATGGAACTCTCCAGTTAATGGAGAGGATCCAAATTCATAATAAAAGAAAGAGTTTAGTTAAGAAAAACATTACTGAGTGAATATATTGACGGTGTTGGGTTGCATAAAAAACTGAATTGACTGGTTGAATATGTATAAAATGGTAAGAGATGGTTGATTTATTGACGAAGATGGTTGTGGTTAGCCTAATATTCTAATCTCACTTTTTATATACACCCCTGTTGCATGTGTATGTAGCTCATTTTTGAAAAAAGCACTAATTGTGTGTACACCGTGTACATATATATAGTTCATTTTGAAAAAGTCATTAATTGTGTGAGTACATTGTACATAAAAAGTTTACACTCTTTGTGTACATGGGGGGCGGGCTAGGGTAGGCTTCACCCCACCTCACCCCAACTATTTTTAATTATAGGTATAGATTTATATAAAAAAATATGGTCTTCAGCCCAGGCCAACCCAAAAGCCCAATTAAATGAAACTCTTAAACATTAAATTAATATGTAATTCATAATTTTAGTTCTTGTAATTTTTGATACTATGTACATCATAATTTCACATACATTTAAATATTAGAGAATAATTTCATACAAAATCAGCATGCATATTATGCATATAAAATTAGCATGAATATTATACATCGAAACAATGAAATCAATATTTACCTATAACAAAATGGAGCTCGAGTTTGGCTCGATAGATTTTTAGTGATTCAAGCGTTCGATAAACAAGCTCAAAAATAGAAGTTTAAACTATACTCGTTAATAGATTCATGTTTGAATTATTCAATAAATACTCGAATCTTTAATAATCATTAACAAATTTTTAAAACTGTACTGAAAACGTTTAAATTAAAGATATATATATATATAATTTGTTCTTATAATTTATAAATGATCAATAGACACGGGTCTTGTTATAGACATATATTACGATTGATATTGTTGGGAAAAACTTATCAAAAACACGTAAGATCATGGAAAGAAATATGAAGAAATGTTATGATTTTATTTTTTCCGTGTCTGTCCCGTTCATTTCACATATACACTGTGCATGTTATGACATTGGAAATACTCTTATAAGTCGAGCAAATTTTTCCTTTTAGTTAAAAATTCCATTTATTATTGAATTAGATAAAGTTACAAAGATGGAAGAAGTCAGTAATATGCGAACTTGTCAACTGTCTGAATGGAACTAGTGAATTAGATGCAGCATTAATGTGCACGAAAATTTTACTGTTGCGGACCGACATTCGGCCATTTGGGCTATATATATAGTAGGCCGGATCTACCTTAGAAGGAATAAAATGAACTGAAAGAAGATAAGGGTGCTAATTGGCCGGAGGCAATGATGATGGTAGCCAAAAAATCAATCTTCTTTCTGTTATATCTCTTCGCCGCACAGTATTCTGGCTCTAGTGCTCTTCTTCCAAACAACACTTCAACTTCTGGTATGTAATTTCATCTAATTTTCTAAAATGGGATGTGGGGTGGATCTGTTTTTAAAATTGAAGTAGCAAAAGAAAATATTGGGATGCTTGTGTGAAAGTACAGAAATACAGATACTTATTATGGTGCTTTATATTATTTTTAGAGATGATTTTTTAGAAGTCGTTTAAGACCAATTTCTGAAAAAAGAATTCAAATACAACGAACTCGCGCACAAAGTGCACTTTTATAACAATATGAGTGACAAAGGACATGATGCTTTTTCACACCTAAGACTCGTATTTTTTTCCCACCCCTCTATTTTCACATCTTTTTCTTAACTTTTGGTCTTATAAATATATAGGCTTACAAAACGTTTCTATTATCAAAATAGTAGACCAGTTATCATCGTAACACAACAAAAAAAGTTGGCTAATATTCTTCGGAGATGTCTAACTGTATTTGAGAACATTTAATTAGAATTTGTGTCTATTTTTTCAATGAAAGTTTATCCTTGAATCCCCAATACAGTGAAGTTATTCCATTAACAATGAGAGATGATATGGTCTTCCTATTTATCCTGCCACTTAGATTGAGATTGATTTTTTTCTACTCCGGGGTCTGGGGAGGGGTGTGGAGTAATCCGAGATGAAACTCACTCTATTAGATTCAAACTCTTGTGTGTCTAGTGAGTTTCGAATTCGAGAGCTCTCACTAGATACGATAAACTTACAACCAGTTGGGTTGGAATGCTTGGTTTGGAGAATGAATTTATCAACATAATCATCTCAAAAAAATTGAATGCTTGGTTTGGAGAATGAATTTATCAACATAATCATCTCAAAAAAATTGAGTGACTAAAAGAGACAAAACTTGTTAGGTTTCATAGCTTTCCTTTTTGTGAATGCTCCCCTACTATTTTCTCTCATTAAATTTTTGGACATGTTTTATTTTGAAATTTGTAGATCTGCTTTGGAAGGGAGGAGCTATAAATGAAAAACGCAAGCTGGCGAGTGGGGGTTTTAGAGGAATTGGATCCCGAGGCGGCGCCAGATCATTTTTGCCTCGCGGGTCGCCGATCTTAAGTACCGGAAGTTCCAGCCGCAACTCCCATCACAACGCCGCCGCTGGCAAGAATCCCACGACATTATATACGACAACCCTCTTGTATGGAGCTGCTCTTTTTGTATTTCTGGCTTGAATCGAACCAGTGCATAATTTGCTAAACCCTTTTCCCTTTATTTCCTTGTTATTCTACATTTCATTACAAACAAAATATCCAGCAATATTTAATTGAAGTTTTTACCTCATTACAATCAATATTACTAATAACTGATTGATCGACAAAAAGTGTCATTTTATTCAATTTCCCAAAAATGTGACTGAAATACTACGATTACAATTCCAGCCGATACAACAACGATGCTAAATTACGATTTTACAGTGACATCACCACAGTGAAAATATTACAGTGACAACACCACAGTGATTCCATTCCAAAGTGTCTACCGCCCACTTGCCAAAGTGACACCACCACCAGTGAGAAACCACAACTCTGGTCAGAGTGACATGCAGACTCCGGCCATAGTGACACACAACTCCCCATCCCCAGTGCTTTTGGGTGTTCAATGGTTTTTTACAATTAGAAATATAAAGAGTAATAAAAAATTATACTCCGTACTAAATTTATACATATATACTTATATGTTTCTCAAAAGTTTAAGTGTTCATGTGAACACTTTGGATCAAGTGTGGCTCCGTCAGTGTCCATCACTCCCCTGCTTCTCACAGCCCCCTCAGTCCCGTCCCCAACCTACCCCACCTTAGTGACGCCGCCAACCACCTCCGTTGACCATCATCGTGATCCACCACCGACCACCGCCCCACCCCCGGCTTGACTCCTCAGCCCCCTGTCACCTTCTCAACCCCCTTCGATCCCCCAGCTAGCTCCTCAGCCCCCAGCCACCTCCCCATCCCCAAGCCCATATCCCGATCCCCAACTCCCCCACCCCATCTCCCTGGCCGCGGTCACGCCGGTCAGGGGCGTAGGCAGGAGTAAGAGTTGGGTTGACCCGGTACAAAGAATTTTTACAAATAAATTTTTACACATAAATTTTCGGGAAAAGTACGGAAAAGGCACATGCGTTTGAGCCCGTTTTCAGATAGGGTCGTGTGTTTCATTCTTTATCAAAGTGATTCATGTGTTTGAATTCTGTTATCACAAGAGGGTCACGCCGTTAAAAACGTATGAAAAAGACCGTTAAAAGTAACTTTGGTTTTCAAAAGTGCCCAAAAAATTAAAAGAAAATACCGGAAGGTGCGCCTCAATAAGATGACCGCTAGGTCATCTCTCTTTTTGGTTTTGAGCCACCATTGTCACCGGAAAGTCCATCGGAAAAGCGATATTAGCGAAATCATTTAAAAAAAATAATTCAAACAGATTTGAAAAATCCAAATGCGAAGGTGGTTTGGAGGTCATCTTGACGAGACACACCTTTCGGTATTTTTCTTTTAATTTTTCAAGCACTTTTGAAAATCGGAGTTACTTTTAACGGTCTTTTAACGGTGTGACCCTCTTGTGATAACGGAATTCAAACACATGAACTACTTTGATAAAGAATGAAACACATGACCATATCTGAAAACGGGCTCAACCACAAGTACATTTTATGTACTTTTCCCTAAATTTTTACATTAATAATATAAGCAATTTTAAAATTTGGGCTGGGTCGGTGCTTGGTTGGCCACCCCTCCACCTCCGCCCCTGCCCGCAATCTCATCTCCCGAGCCCCACACCACCCTCCCCCAGCCCCGCCCAACAACCACACACCCCGACCCCACCTAACAACACCGCACCACAACATCACCCAACAACGTTGCACCACAGCCCCTCAAGCCTCACCCTACCTTCCAACCTCACCTCAGCGAAACTCGATCTGGAACTCAGATCTGAAATCCCTACAGTAAGGCGAGGAGGTGATTTGCGATCAAGAAAGGAAAAGAAGGAGAATCAAGGGCTGGCCGCTTGGTAGTCGTCGCTGACCTGTAAAAGGTCAACGAACCTCCGACGAGATGCAACAGAGAGGATGAACAGCGTCTTGGAGCGTCGGAGAGGATGTCGCCATGACTATGGGAGAGAAGCCTCGACCCTGTGCAGAGGAGGAAGGAAGTTCGACGCGTGTGAAGAGAAGATGACTCCAAGTGTGAGAGATCGACGAGTTGGACGTTGGGCTGGGGAAAAGATATATTAAATGGTCACACTTTTGTCCAAATGCAAAATCGTCATATTTTTGTGTATGCAAACTCCCTAAGTAATATTTTTGCAATTCTTTCTATTTAATTTTGAGACTGTTTGTAGAGTCGTGATTGTATAAGGAATCAATGGCAAAACTTTAAAGTGCTTAGATTTTAAAATAAGAAATCTATTGTTTGACCATTTTGTCTTTTCATGAATTCTCTTTATAATTTATTTATTTTATCTTTTAAGTTTGACCATTTATATTCACTCATTATTCACTCGATCCACCCGATAACCCGTTCATGATGGATGAGTTAGATGTGAATGTAATTTTTAATAAATGATGCACTAATGAGTGAAATATGAAAAATTAACGGGTGCACGTTAATGTGTATGAGCCTTCACAATTTGGTTGGTAAATCGTGAGATCAACAGCTAACTATTGTCAACTAAAGATGCACAGATTTAGAGTTAATATAAGAACATTGAAATTTAGAAGAAGCCAACGAAAGATGCACAAATTTTCTGCATTTAGTACCAATTTTCATGGACCACTGTGTATCACACATCTTGAATAGTCAAATGTTAATAAATTAATTAATGTAATAAAAAGATTTCAACTCTTACCTACCATTCCAATTTCCAAACCCCATCCCGGACGGTACGTTGGGAGGATGTAAATTGGACTATAATTCCAATCTGATAGATAGAGATCGAGTGGCGCTCTGTCCCCGGTATTTGCCGAAGCCCTATGCATTTTTAGCATAGTAACTCCTCATCGCAGTTGATGGGATTCGAACCCGGGACCTAAACCTTGTGTCACTCCCTTGCTACCACTTGAGTTACGCCCATCGGTTATCCAATTTCCAATTACACATTGAATGAATGAATTGGATGAAGTCTATGCCAATGGATTGCTAATGGCCCAACCTAAGCTATTCTCTTTCTCAACAATCAAACTGAAAAGCCTTGACACTCTCTCTTTGTCACTGCACTTGGCAATGATGTTCATATACTGCATTGCGTCCGCAGGAAGGAAGCCCTCCATGAAGAAACGGAAGAGATTTGAGTGAGTTCCTTGCATTGCGTCCAAACACTGCCCCACTAATTTGGCTTGCTTCACTTTACCCAATTCTGCGGCTTCTGATAATAGCGGAAGTAACTTCTTTTCTTCCTCCCAAAAGTGTTGCCTTGAGTCCTCCTGCAATGTGTAATCTAGCTAACTTGGATCTTAAGTTCATTATATATCTTAAATTACCATTATAATTAAGATGTGTTTTTAAATATCCGGTATTAACACCAATTCAAATGAAATGAGAAGGAATTAAATTTATCATTAGTCAATTGAGTAGAAGATGAAGAGCGTTTTTTAAAATGACCCTATTATAACTTTGAAAAATGACCCCATTTATTAAATTTATCATTAGTCAAAGATGTTAACATTTAAAAGAACATATATAATATGGCGGAACCAGGACTCGTGACTCGCAGGGGCACAATAACAAAGAAATGATATACTAGTCTAGAAACAAATCATATGCATCACGAGTATATCAATAAACAAAACTATAAAATTTAAATAAAACCACTGTTTTTTGAATGATCTGTTGCACCCATTAAAATCACTTTGTGGAAATTTAAAGTCACGCGGTTGGCAAGGACCTTTTCTCAAATAACGTCTCCTCAACTCATCTCTAATATTAACATCATAAGTCTCAATCGACATAACTTTTCTGTCCAGCACTTTTCTGTCCGAACGCCGTCCGAACACCGGCGTTTGGGGCGGTTCCCGGCTGAATATTTTGATGAAATTTTTTGATCATGTTTCTCATCAAGTCTAGTTTATCCATACCAAACTTCAGCTCAAAATTCGATCGGAAAGGCAGTCAAATAATTCGTTGAAATTAACTGCGCCAAATTATACATAGAAAAACGCAGTTAACTTTTTCGTAGGAGGTGTCACCTTTTTTGGTGGAAAGTTAGAACCTAGTCTTGCACATCTTCTTAGAATAAATATGGAAGCAGGAAGCGTTGTAAAACACACGATCATTCTTGATTACAACCTCACTCACACTCTTGTTCTTGTAAAGAAAATTACTCACTATTTTCCTAGCATCTTCAATTAAATTTAGTATTTTACTATCAGTTTTTCCATTTATTTCTAGATAAATATCTTGTGCGATTCCCATATCTTATTTTTGATTGTTAGAAGAAATTATCAATTTCTTGCTTAAACATCTATCATATTAAGTGGTTAGCATCGGAAATTAGGAACACTTGATACAAGTTACCACATTCGATTGAGTGATTGTGAAACGATTTAAAATGTAGAAATGTCATTTGCGAGAGAAAAAAACATGAAGGCTGGAACCCCTGTTCTAAACATTTAGGTCAGTTAGGTTGGCGAATTTCGGAAGAAAGGACACATGAGGGGACATATATAAATTTAAAGTGATTTTTACATTTTGAAAAATTGATATAAAGTGAACATAACAAGTATTATTTCTATAAAATACTAGTACATGGTTATTTGTAGTCTAAAACTAACAAATTCTTATAAGTTTAGTAAAATGAAAAACCAATCAAATCAAATCAATCATTCTTTCCTTTTCTCTTCAAAATCTCCAAATCAAACAAGACCTTAGAGAATAGATTTTCATTTGTATTCTTTTTCACCCAATCTTAGCGGGAATCCCTGGTTTATCTAAGTTTGTTTACCTATCAATTTTAGTGAAGTAGTTTGAATTATTAGATGGTATGCATGTGAGTATATGTGTCTCCATAGTTAGTATGGGTATGTTCATAGTTCTTGATTTAGATACTCCTCAAACTATTGAACATAAAAAAGTATTCTTTGAGTTCATGATTGTTGTTAACGACTATTCCTCTTGCTTCTACTTGAATGGTGAAAACTAATATAAGTACTGTCAACCCGTGATGGAGTCACTCATGTTCAAAGAGGTTCACATAAACACCCAAATTTTTGAAAAAACATGTATGTATATATGTGTAAATGAGTTATAACGATTTATTGGTCTTGACATTTGTAGTTCTAAAAAAGCATTGAACACCCAAAACTCATATTCCAAATCCGCCACCCCTATCGACTAAATCAACGAAAAAAGAGAATAGATATTGAAAGATCAAGATCACGTTTGGTAACCCTATTATCAGGTTCATGTTCCATTTTTTCATCAAACACGTAATTTTTTATTCGCGCTCTGAGTTGTGTTAAAATATGAAAAAGTAAGGTTGAAGTTACTTTTCTGGCCCTATTGGTTGAAGTTATTGTAGAGGATTATTTCAACTACTTTTTCATTTTTTCTTTGTTTTATTAAAAAAAAAATCCATTAATTAACAGTTTCAGCCGATTTCGTCAAAACTTCATAAATTTCAGCAGAATCTCTCAATTCAGTCAATTTCAATGTTATTGGTGTTAACATGGATTGGTGTTCGCTTCATGCTTAAATTTACAATTACAACATTTGTTGTTCTTATTATTATTATTATTATTATTATTGTTATTGTTGTTATTAATGTTATTATTATTGTTATTAGTATTATTGTTATTGTTGTTATTAATGTTATTATTATTGTTATTAGTATTATTGTTATTATTGTTGTTGTTGTTATTATTATTATTTTATTATTATTGTTAGTATTATTATTATAATAATTATTATTATTATTATAAACTCAATTTGGATAAATACCTCGATCAGCATTTTCCAGGATTGGAAACACAATTTTTTCCTCCATTTGAGCATGCTCTAGCATCACCTCCACCAACAGAGAGTACATCTTCCCAAATTTCTTCATCTCCATTCGGGGAGTGCACGCCGCCGGATTTCCCCTTGCCTTTCCCCCACGCGCCGCCAGCTCCTCCGCCCACTCCACCATCCTCTCCAGGTGCCAAACCATGCTCCGGTGCTGCAGAGTCGCTACGCACGCCACCGACGGCGGCATTTCCCCATGCCATCGCCCGCCAGCCAGCAGCAGGCGCGGCTCAGGAAACTTCGCGTCCAAGTAACGAACCAGATTCTCGACGGAGCCCGAAACGGCGTCGGAGCTGTACTCAATCGCCGGCACCTCGTGGCTGTCGGAGGCAACGAAGTTGACGGAGACTGGCTTGGTCATGAGCGCGAATCGAATGTAGTAGGTGTCATTGCCGAACGGTGTTCCGTAGAGTTTGACGATTGGGTGGTCGGCGGGCTTGACCACGTCGACGGTGCGGTGATTGAAGACGGCTGCCGGCGTGAATTCGGCCGTCGAATTTGTCGGACATTTGATGCAAATCATGCAATTACCCATTAATGCAGAATATGTAAATATACAGATCATCTTCTTGGTTAAATATTTTGGGGAAATCGGTGGAAGTATGGAAGAAATTAACCTCCGGTTAGTTAATGAACAGTTCACCAAAATGAATGCCAAATTATTATTATGATGGAAAGATAGGACAATGCGTGGGAAGCACTTTAAGTCTTTATTTATTTAAATATAAAAACCGTGCAGAGCGCAAGAGATGAAGATGGATGCATTTTCATGGTAGCCCCTCACAAGCACCAAAGGAAAAGTGCGACACCAAGAGGAATATGTTCTCTGATCTTTCTCTCGTGTATTTGAGGTACATTGGTGTTCTAGGAGGTTTTTATTGGTTTTAAACTTTTTGGTGTGGTCTTTTTGGTTTGATTTGTTTAAATTTGGTCTGATTACGTCGAATTTAGTAAATGTCGGGTTCATGTATATTTTATAAATGTCAAAATTTGATCTGTTTAAATCTGATGTAACATGATGTGTTTAAGTTTGGTCTAAGACTCAAATAAGTATAAGTAAAAATATGTATAGGATATACTTTGTGTGTTTGATTTTCAAATTCACCCCCTTATTTTTTATTTTATTACTCATAATTATGAGTCTATCTTCTAACATTGAAATTAACTAAATCGACTAAATCTGTTAATTATATGTAAAATGTGATAGTATATTTTATGAATAAAATAAAGAAATAAGTAGATGAAAATAAGCTAAAAGCCTAAAATAGTCTTATTCATCAATTTCAACCGTTTCGAACAGAGAAATAACTACAACCTTAGTTATTTCAAATAAATCGATTTTTACACCATTCAATTTGCAAAATTAAAATTACGAATTTAGTACAAAAGTATATAAGAGTTAAAAGTTGATATTTGACCATACGGTTTTCCAAAATTCAAATTATAAATTTAGTACAAAAGTAGGTATTTTTAAGTTGAAAGAGATATACATATAAAAATTACGTAGTAATAAGTAGAGCATTTATCAATGGTCGTATATGTTTTTAGTAACTTTTCATGCACAATGTCAATCACATTGTCTATATGTAGACATTGTAGTTAGCATTGTTAAGAAAAACTTACAAAAAATCATAAGACTGAAAAGAAAGAGAGAAATGTTGTGAACGTATTCTTTTATGTCTATATCTCATACCACATATGCATCATGCACATTGTAACATTGTAGATGCATTAAGCTTCATATAAGAATACTTCACAAAAGTTTTAGCGAAACTCAAGAATTAGTAGTTTAGTATAAGAATTTTATCAATCTAAGATCCAAAAGATAGATGAGTTATCAATCCAAGATCTGAATGATAAAATGTATCGATATAGTATCCGGATGATGAAAAACTATCGGTCTGAGACTAACTTCATAGGTTTTTGATTTATTTAAATTTTTATTAATTTCATAGTTAATTTTTATGATATTTTCTTCACAAAATTTTATTAGTTTAAAAAAACAAATAAACCTTAAACCCTAAACCCATAAATCCTAAACCCTAAACCTTTAATATATTCATATCTATCATCAAATTCACAAATGTATTAGTAGTAAATTGTTTAACTTTCATAAAGAAAATAAGAGTCCATTGGGTGATGTTGAAATTTGATGAATCCAGCTGTTCAAATTTGTGAAATTCTTATTGAATCGTCTTAATCAAGAAAATGACTAAATTTATAGCAAGAAAGTGACTACATATCACTTATTATACACATAAGTAGTTAAAATTATTAACAATTATATCTAGATCACACAATGTTATTGGTTTATGAGTAATAGTTGATATTATTTAAAGTATAGGACCTGGTTGTACTATTGTTGACTTCTTTCAATTTTGACAACATAAAATTCACCATGGACGACAAGTTTGGGCGGTTTAAATGGATCAATTTGCACACATAAAATCTTCTCCATATGAGAGGATTTTGAGTTCATGTCATGTGTGAATTTGTGAGGATTTCTTTAAATGATGATCATCTAGCCCTCAAGGCTGACTTGAGTTGCCGCACATTGTTTCGTCACATCTTGAGCGGGAGTTTGGGAGTTAATTTATGGTCGTGAACAGGACGACACGCACAAATACACAATTAATATTTAATAGTTAAGGGCCATTTGAATTTGAGTTGAGTTTTTGAGAGTTTAAGAAGAATTCTGGATAACCTTATTACTCGTGCTAACAAAAAAAAAAGAATTTGCCGTAGCACGATTAGTGGCGGAGCCACAAATTTATGATTAAGGGGACGAAACTTTAAGAATTTTACATTGTAGGAGCCAAAGTATAAAATATCAACACACTTACTCTGGATTCAAAGTATTTATACATAATACTCCCTCCGGTCCCTAATCAAATTCACACTTTCCGTTTTGGGTAGGTCTAAAATAAACTTCACACTTCTTCCCCCTTATTTATTTGGCAAATTAACTACATCAAAACAGTGCAAAACAGTGTCAAACAGTGCAAAACAGTGTCAAACAGTATCAAACAGTGTCACAACAGTGTACTATACACTAAAGTCAATTTTACTTCCTTAATTTGTGTGAAGTCAAACATTGAATTTGTTTTGGGATCGGACGGAGTATATACTCTCTTCGTTTCCATTTGTTTCACATAGTTTGATTTGTCAAGAATTAAGGAAAAATGTTACTGAGGGGTAAATTTTACTGTAGAGAACAATATTTGATATTGTTTGAACACAGTTTGACACTGTTTTGGTAAAGATTTGTTTAACAAATAAGAAAATAAAGAAGTATATCAAAGAAACTGAAACAGATGAAATACTTTGAGAATTTCTTTTAGCCAAGGCCCTCCCTCTCTCCACCCGGACACCATCAAAGGCGCCTTTATTAATTTTCTTAAACTAGGAATAACGTTTAGGCTTGGGCTAATGATGGACCGAGTCCAAAGCGGTTGAAGACGTACAACGCATTAGGGCTTCTGCGAACCTTGCATTGTTAATTGGGCCGGGAGCTAGTCATTTTGCTATTGACCATCCCAAACTGAAAGAACGGAGGAGTACTACGGAGGAAAGCCTAACCTTCTTCACTCATCTTCTTCTACCTTGTCTGAGTTTCCTGAGACGAAACAGGAAGCGCAGTCGCCATGAGTAGGTCGGGTCAACCTCCGGATCTAAAAAAGTGAGCCTCTTTTTCTTCGCTATTCGTTTCGTTCCTCTCTCTGCTATATTTATTGCATTATGAAGAATTGGGATCTTAATTTTGTTGTTCTATCTTTTTCACCAAATTCTGCAGGTACATGGACAAGAAGCTTCAGAGTACGCGTTTTTTCTTCATATCTCAGTGAAATATTTCTTCGTTATTGTTTAAAACATGTTATTGGGGTTTATACTTTGTATTTACGGTACGGTTCAGATTAGGCATAGGTTTTTCCCATGTTTAATTTGGGTATTATCTCATTTGAGAAGAAGTATTTTGTGCCTGCATTCTACAATTATATACCTATAACTTTATTATACCAGAATTTGTTAACGCACTTTGTATTAAATTAATGAGTTAAATAATGCAGCTTACAAGAACCCCATAGACCCTAATGAAATCCCAAACAAACAGGAACTGTTTATCAAAACATAGCAGTTCATTTGTTCTGTCCTTTAAGATCTACTATCTTTGAGCAATTATTTGTACACGAATGCATTGAACTCCTTTTGAGCTATATGCGATTTGATTAAGATCCAGTGGCCTAATGATTTTAAATTCTTGTGCAGTTAAATTGAATGCTAGTCGCATGGTTGTTGGGACTCTCCGTGGGTTTGATCAGTTCATGAATTTAGTCATTGAAAACACAGAGGAAGTCAGTGGCAATGAAAAGAATGATATTGGCATGGTGGTTAGTAGCCAGCCCCCCTTTATAATACCTTCAATAGCATTTGAATAATTATAATGAGTAGACTGTCACTATCCTCATTAAGTTTACCCTTTACTGTTTTTTCTTCAAAAAATACATTTGTAAAAGTTTTCAAGTAACATTTTTTTCAGGTTATTCGGGGAAACAGTGTAGTAACTATTGAAGCACTGGAGCCAGTTGCCAGATCATAGCCATTGGATACTAATGCAATTTTAAATTGACCCTTTTGCATATTGTGTTTCTTTGAAGAGATGGTTGATTAGTTGAAGTACTGTAATCATGAAGCTAAATCAATCTCGTGGCTGAACTATGTTTGCTTTTTATGTGCTTAGTTGAGTGGATTTTATCATATAATATCGTTCATGATGCATATACAGATCTTCTGCCTATGATCCTTGTTATATACTGTATGGTATGGAACCCGGCCTCTATTTGCTTGATCTACATGTTGCTCTCCTTGAATGGTTTGGGTGTGGGTCATCAATACAGAAGATTTCTATTTCTTATTTACGAAGTATATATGAATGAATTCACAATGATGCAACATCATACTAAGAGATTTTTTTTGTAATGCCAAATTTGAATTTTAATGAAGTTGTGGCCGAAATGGAAAGTGTGGCCCGAGTATTTGAAATACACTATAAAATGAATAACAGTTATATGAGAAAAGCTAGGGTTAGCTTTCCTAGCCCATTAAGGATGTTTTTATTTGAACCTAAATTTGATTTGAGTATTTTATAACTATAAAAGTTTGGTTTTGTCTGTTTAAATCTAATTTGACTTGTTTGAATCTTGTTTGATATGGGATTGAAAATAGTTCTAGTAAAAACATCACAAGACAAAAGTACATTTAAAAATACTTTTTTATTAATTAATAGTGTGCTCAAAAACTAAAAGAGAATGGCAACAATAAATCACCTACTGTTCCATTTCGTTGCACTTTTTTTAAGAGGACATTCGTGAATCGTGATAGCATAAGATTTCATTGTGTTGGGATCAGGGACAATGGGTTGGTTCCATGACTATTGCCTTGTTACACCTTAGCTTTGGTCCGACCAAGCTTAAAATATAGTCTCGCTAACGGATATTGATTCGGATTATTTAATTACTTGTCGGGTTGGCTTATCCATTAGCGTTTGTATTAGTTGATAAATTTGGGTCAAGCTTATGTATCACTTAATCGGTGGGCAAGTTGTTTACGTCTATAAATAGGCCGTTAACCCCTTGTATTAATTTGAGCTATTTTTACTATATTAAATTGTTGTCAGTTTCTTTACCCAGATTATTTTCTACCAACACATTGCTTTCTTGACCTCGTCAAATTTGTCATAAATAAGTCCTTTAAGATCTACACCATTGTTGCCATCTATTGATGATAACTGTTCACATTTTTCTTGTGGTAGTGTATACGGATGGCCCGGGACAGGTCGGTCTAACCTAGGCCCAGTACTGTTTACGCCCGGCCCGGTCCGCTAATGTATAGGTCCGGTACTGATCCGGTCTCAGTCCGATGGCTATAAGAGCGTGCTTCGGGCCTGGGCCTGATTGCATTGTTTTTTTTAATTTATTATCCCATCCCGGCGTGGCCCGGTACCGGACCTGGAATTTTTAGGCCCGAGCCCTCCAGTCCCGACCAGCAGTCCGGCCTGACCCAGTCCCGGTCCATTTAGTGTATCGATTTTCTACTTGCCCAATCTAATACGGAGTATGTAACAATTTATGTCCAACTCTTCGCCTATTTTTGAGCTGACTTCAGAGTTCAGACATTATGATTGTTTACCTCCCAAGTTTTGTTTCTATGTTGTTGATCTCCGCAAGAAACATATTGCAGTTTGAATCAGGATCACAATATTTAAAAGGTGTAACTTAACTGGGATTAAAATCAACATATATAAAATATGTTATCTACTGTTGACATATATTATAGGCACAATTCTACCTGATGATGTCTTCTTACTTTTATATTACTCCGTACTTAAAAGTTTTTTTAACTCTTAATTTATATTCGATCGAACATTTTTATTGAGATGTTTTAAAATTTTGAGATGATTTTTTAGAAGTCACTAAGAGAAAGTCTATTTTCTTAACATTAAATATTCACAATTTATTATACCAAACAAAAATAGATGAAAGTGTTAGCTTTTATTAAATAATTAAAATTTTCTCTTAAAATCTTTTCAATTATTTCTTTTTGGGGAGAAAGAAGTTTGCAATTATTAGATAGCTGAAGTGTACCTTTTCATCTAGCATTGTCAAACGGGAGTCCGTCCACCGTACAACCGGCTGTACGGTGAGCACCGTACAGCCGATAACATTTTTGTAATGTAACGTGAAAATTGTGTTTCTGCTAAATGAACATTAGTGTACTGTTAATGAGCAATAATCCAATTTTAATGAGTATTAAGAGTCTAATAATGAGCACCATGTTATTACAAGAAATCTGATATCACAACTAAAAAACAGTGGCATTTTCGTAATTTCAGTGAAAATCGCGGTTTTCGTTAGATAAACATTAATACACTGTTAATGAGCACCAGACGTATTTTACTGAGTATTAAGAGTCGAATAATGAATATTGTGATATCAACTTCATATATTGTATTTCACTTTCTTTTTCTTATTTTATCTTTTATAAAAACTTATTTGAAATGAGCAACGAAAAAATTCAAAACACTCATTTAAAATTTATAGTACGCTCAAACTTTATTTGTTTGAATTGTCTAGTATGCTCAAATTTTCATTTGTGTATGCTCATTTAATTTGTCTAATGTACTCAAATGCTCATTTATGTATGTTCAATTCTTTTAATTGTTATACACATTTAGGGATGGACCCGGGCCGGTCCGGTTCCGGGCCGGGCCCGGGCGGGTTTTTTTGCAAATCCTTGGGCCCGGAACCGGCCCGGGTTGATACCGGGTCGGGTCGGGCCGGGCCGGGCCGGGCCCGAATCAATTTCTATTTTTTTTCCTTTCTTGTTATCCCCCGACCCCCCCCCCCCTCACCCCCACCCCCAAACCTCCCCAAAACACTCAGCCCTACCCTAGGAAAAGAAAAAAAATTGAAAAAACAAAAAAATTGACCCGGCCCCGGCCCGAACCGCCTGGGTCGGTTCGCCCAAAATTGGGCCCGAACCCGACCCGCCCGACCCGCCCAAACGGGCTAAAAGCCCGGAACCGGCCAACAGGTCCCGGTCCGGTCCGATCCCGCACAGTAGCAGGCCGAGCCGGTTCCGGGCCGAGCCGGTTCCGGGCCGAGCCGGCCCGGTTTAGTCCATCCCTATACACATTTATTATAAACACTATACTCAATGAAACAACACTGAACGCACAACTTGATTCTCCTTCATACGAACACCCAATGAGCGAGCAGATCGACACATCCTTCATCAGACTTCAACGAGCAAACATATGAGCATCTCCTTCGGCGTCTCCTTCATCATACCTCAGCGAGCAGCAAGGGAAGACAGAACTACCTGACATTTATCACTAGAGTTCTAATTAATTGCAAAAATACCCGGTTGTACGGTGAACACCATACAACCGGCTGTACGATATAATTTACGGTCAAACGGAGAACATAATATCTTCTAATGTTTATTATTGATAATTGAATAAGTGTCATCTATGAACAAAACTTTAAAACTTATGACGAAGTTATACACTTATACGTTAGCTTATGTTACAAAACATAGACACTAAACAAGTAAAACAACCAGAGAAGCTTAAGTTAATTTCATTGATTAAAGAAAAACACAGTTCTTATATTTTGGACGAAATGTTAGAATTTCGTTGGTTAAAAATCTATTCATCGATTTTTCCTACGGCTCACCATCAACTACATAACTTCAGAATTCAAATTCAAAACATAAACTACCAAACAGGTTTATAAAACAACAAAATCATAGCAATTTCCGAACAATACAAAATTGGTTTTTCTATCACGTGAAGCTTTGGGATGAACCACATTAATTGCCCGTTTATAACACATATGAGGTATTACTATTAATTACAGATACCTCTCCACGGCAACTTGAAGCTATTACAGATCCTTTCTGGAAAGTGTTTGAAGAAACCATTGAAACTATTGTGGTTCCTACATCTCTCCACGGCAACTTGCATACTTTTTAAGTTATTACCGATCCAGGAAAGTGTTGCACACGAATCGACATGATAGAATAGCGGTTACATAATACTACCTCCTTCCCCACACAAATGTTACCAAATATGGTAGAGCAAATTCCCTAAATAGGAGTAAAAAAGTTTTGAAATTCCAAAATAAGAGTATCATGTTTTTATTCCCTAAATAGGAGTAAATTTCTGCAAAGTTTGGCATTACTAGGCTATTAAACATGGCATTTTTTTCCAAACTTGGCAGATTACTCCTATTAAAGGAATAAAAAACATGATACTCCTATTTTGGAATTTCAGAACGTTTTTGCTCCTATTTAGGGCAATTTCTAAATATGGTATGAGATAATTATAGAGGAACATAAAAAAATGAAAAAATGGGACAATTATAGGAGATCAGAGGGAGTACATGAAATTTTGGTGGTCCCAATTCTATCATAACATAGATAGCAAATTTAACATTCCTTGTTTTTTGTTTTACCCTCGATGTTAACAACTTGAAAAACTATGATCAACCAATATATAGTGCCCATACTTCACAAACGTTGTCACAAACTCTCAGGACCCACACAATAGACTCTGGTTATGGTTTGCACAGGAATAGGAGATGCTATTCGTACTTGCCTTTCTTCTCATAAGCATTTCCGAACTAGCATTCACCATATTGGGGAATTGTACAATTAGATAACCATACGTCCTTATATATAAGGTACCACTGAGTTAATCAGAATCATGTCTCCTCTTCTTGTCTCTCCTATGTTTCTTCCGCCGTTCATCATCCGAGTCCCGAGAGTGCCGTTTCTCGCGCCTATCATGCTTCTCCCGTTTCTTATCTTCATGGTGTCTCTTCCTTTGGCTTCTTTCTTCCTCTGAGCGTTCTTCTCTACTTGTGGGTTCCTCCAGCATGGACCTGTTTCTGATTTCTGGAGGTTCTGCCTTCTCACTGGGTACTGCACTTGAGGATTCTTTCCAGGGTTCATGCGATCTGTGGAGCCCATTTACACAAATTGGTGTCAGCAAGTAAAATCAAAGGATATATGTATTTTGTAGTAACAGATACAGAGTATTTGGTTTCCTATACACTCATACTTAATCTTTCTAATTAATAATTGGCAAATAATTGATTCGAAACAGATAGGAGAACATAAAAAATGGGAGCGCGTATAATAAAAATGACTTGTTTTCTTTGAGTTGTTACTCCCAAGTCCTAACACGTTGTCAAACTCTAGACGCGCAAGAGAATGTGTGTCCATTTGGTAGCTTGTTTTTACTGCTTATCAGCCAGCCAGATTTTCAACTCCGTTAGGTAAGCATCAAATGGCTTCTAATGAAGTTGCTAAATCATCGAAAAACATTTAATAATATACTTTTAAATAAGTTAAATGAAAATAACTTCTAAACAAAAGGAGAGAAGTATCCATTTCAACCATAAACAGGGTCTCATATTCTCATACACTGCTACTACTTTTCATTACGAAACGACTCAGCCAACAAAAAGAAATAAGACAATCTTACGTAAAAAAACTTGCACATTAATCTGATTAGCTGATATGACCACTACAAATCCTACCAAAAGGATCTTAAATTTATTGAAATGACTGAATCAGCAGATAACTAAAAAACAGCTAAAACAGAACACAAACCATCAATAGCTTCTTATCAACAAACATTTACAAGCTCCCTGATCTTACCGAGAAAACCCAAGGCCTTGAACCTGAGCAGCTTCAGCATGGCCTGCTTCAAGGTCTTCTGCTGTAGAGCCTCTCTTCACTAGCTCAGACAACTCATGCTTGTCTAGTCGGTTTCCTTGAGGCCGGGCAGCACGCTTAGGAGCTAATCCCAGAGCCTCCCGCATGGCTTGCTCCTCTTCTTCCTTAATCCTTCGTATCTCTTCTTTTGCTGCCTCTGCATCCATTTGTTGAGATTTCTTGTCGCGCGCATACCAATAAAGATCTTTACCTGTACAATTTTGGCCCAATGAAAGAGAGATGATTTATATATATTACACCCTCTGTTGTCCTAGCAAAAAAAACTCATGTTTGGTAAAATTATAACTTTAAAATTTTGACAACGTACAACTGTTAATTATCATATAATTTTATTGATACTTTTTCAAATTATTTTGTACGCTTGATTAAACTTATCATGTCTGCTACCTAGTTTGCTTGTTTTTGCTAAGTTACATGAAGTAAGACCTTTTGTGAAAAACAGGTGGGAAAATAAGTTTGAAACTTTGAATATCACGAAGAATCACCGATAAATTGTTATCATACTTTAAAAAATACAGATGAAATATTGATTTCATACTACAAATCCGACAATTTAACCCAAAAAGTTGATACAAAACAATTAACTAGTGTCTTAAAATGAAGTCACTTATATTATGGTTTGATAAAGTTTTTATGGGCCAAATGACCCTGTTCATAGTTAAAATGTGGCTCCGAAGCTCCGTATCATTTATGGTATATATTAAAATGGTGTGTATTACTTAAAGTGATGTAAGACGTATGTTTTGTTATTGGTTTATGGATGATATTGGTATTATTCAAAGTTATTTTCCCAATAACTGTTGAAAAATAAACATATAATTAGTATTTGGGAAAGAGGGAGTAACAACTAAGAGACACAATGAACTCACAGACAGGTTTATTGTCATCATAAATAGTCTTAATCACAGTAGAACATAGTAGCAGCAGCAAGTAAACACACAAATTAAGTACTGTAATACTACCTTTCTGCCATCTTCCAACTGGAGCGTTGACACTATGTCCAATATAGTTCTCACGATGCTTATCAACTTTAACATCATCCCAGCTAAATTCTGCAAGAAATACGAAAATTTTAATAAAAATCTCATAAATCCATGATGAGTTCAAAAGCTGGCAGCCCTACAGCCTAACAAAGTACATGTATAAAAATTTAAAAAAATACCAGAAAGAAAGGTGAATCAAACATATCTGAAGCTACTCCTAATGGGATCTTGCTCTGGTATGCCAAAATGTGTATTAAGGAGTATTACTACTGCACCATTATTATCCTCCATACTTTTCACACAACTAATACCTATTTGGAAGTAATCTTTTACAGATTCATTACTTCTTAATTAAAATGTAAATGCGTCAAATATTAAGGACTCCTCAATCTCCAAGAACGAGATAACGTTCAAAACATCTAATTCTGAGGATCTTAGAAGAACAGTGAAAACTAATAAGCGTTTTCCCAATACCGAAGATATCCAGATTACATTAAGTGGAAATCTTTCGTAACACTAAATCCAGCGAAAATGGATCGGGAAAATATCAAACCGCATGTGATGTTACCAAATTTAATAATTTCATATAATTATTTTTATATAGATCAGTGATTTCTCCGCATATAACAAAAGTTAACCCTATAAATGCAAGAGGAAAGTGAATGACGAGCTTACGATCGCGACCACCCCGAACTCCGCCTCTAGATGGATGATACATATTGATTTTGGCACTAAAATCCCAATTCCGGTTGACAGAAATGATTACAACGGCGAGTCGTATGATTTTCTTCTGATGAATATAAACTCGCTTCGTCGTAGTAATTTTCTTCTGATGAATATAAACTCGCTTCGTCCTGAAAAAAAAATTAGGTGTCATTTTTACGATTTAAGCGAAAAATCATGGTTTTTACTAAATGAGCAATGGTGTAATTTTAATGAGATCTGACCTATCTTATTGAGTATTTAAGAGGCTAACAATGAGTTTCATGATCTCTGCTTCATACCTTCTAATTCTTTTTTCTTATTCATGTTTTTTCTTTTATAAGAACTTATTAAATTATATCTATAATACACTCCTATTAATTTCAGTATGCGAGTATAATGTCATATGTTACTTTTGAAATATACATTGACACCACATTTTAAAAATGAGCATAACATCATACCAAATGAGCATATGTAACTTACGAAATGCGCATTGATATAAAAATCGTAAAGTTTGTTAGTTGAACATCACGACATTTTCATTGAGCATCAAAACTCATATCTCGAGATGAAAATGGTAGTTTCTGTAAAATGAGTATTACTGAACTTTTAATGAGCATATGATCTATTCTGTTGAGTATTAAGAGTCTAATATTAAGCATCATGATTTCTGCTTCAGAACTTCTGATTCACTTTCTTTTTGTTCTTTTTTCTTTTATAAAAACTTATTAAATTATACTTATAATTAACTCCTATGAATTTCAATACGTGAATCTAACGTAAAATAATACTTTAAAAAAATGCATTCATATGACACTTAAAAATGAGCAATAAATCAGTACCAAATGAGCATACATAATTTACAAAATGTTTATTGATGTGAAAATCGTAAGGTTTGTTAGTTTAACATAATGGCATTTTCATTGAGCATCAAATCTCCTCTATTGAGATGAAAATCACAGTTTCTGTTAAATGAGCATTAGTAAAATTTTAATGTGCATCAAAAGGATTGGTGTCCGATTTTCAAAAGTCAAAGCAAACAAAAATTCAAAAGGATAATTCTCTGCTATTAAAAACTAAAAATGTAAGGCCAGAAGACATTTAATCAAGTGTTTGTTGTTTTTTATGTGCTCATATATCTATAATCAACTCCTACATGAATCTAAAAAATAAACCGAAACATTTAATAATATTTTATATTATATATATTCATAATAATTGAATATAAAAAAGGTTGCTAAAAAAAGAAAAGAAAGGAGAACAAACAAAAAAACAAAAAAAGAAGAATAAACAAAAGAAAAGTAAAGAAAGGAGACTTACGAAATAAGGGGAACATTAATGGAGCAGCGATGGAAAAAGAAAGCAGTTCACCACTTCAGCTTAATAATTATCCTTCAACTTGCTACTAATTTCAAAAATACCCATGTACACCCGATTGTAAGATACTCCCTCCGTCCCTTAAAACTTTGTCATCTTTCCTTTTTGGGACGTCCCAAAAAACTTTGTCACTTTCTCTTTTAATCAATTATTTTGTGGTTTCTGTTATTTCTCTCTCCTCTGCACAAACCTCAACTAAACAATTTTTACTTTATTATTCTCCGTGTCAGTCAATTTTGGCAAAGTTTAAAGGGACAAAGGTAATATATTTTGCTGAGTTCCAGGCCTAAAATTTCCCGTCCACCAACATGGCCAGTCCTATGGGCAGTTTGGGACTTTGGGCACGGCCTTGTGTTATGAGTAAATCGTCTCTAAAATTATAGGCCGGACCCACTAACACATGTATTTTAGTGGAAATTTTTGGATTTTCTAAGGTTTTTAAATTCAAAAATATTATGGAATACTAAAATAAAAATATTTTACACAAATATGATTAATAGTTACTATAATCTAGTTTCATGATAACTTAAGTTTAAATCTTAAACATAAGTTACAATGATTTCATTAACACTCTATTTGCTAGTCACATTCTTTGAACAATCTTTTTTCGATCATAAATACACGAAGGATGCGATTATTTCTTATACTTTTCATGTTGATGTAACGTGCGTCAGAGATACATCATGCTAATTAAAAAATGACGTCAGCAATTATGTCTACCCTTGAAAACTAGGCTATGATATCACGAGTGATGTCATCCTTTGGGGATTAGGTGATGTTGTGGTGATGTAAGTCGTAGATATGTATGCGTGGAACACCCGGAAAATGGCTAACACAAGAGTTGTAGCCGAACCGAGACAGATCAGGACCGCTCCTCCTCGTCCGTGGAATCCTGGAAATCATGCTTGGCCTCGTTGAAGGAAATTGGCCCAGAATAGAATAAGCTCACTAATGGGGATTAGGCCCAAACTATGATGTCGGTCTCAGCGCTGGGCCTTGGCATCATGAATAAGTTGCATGGTCTCCTGGTCTGAATAGCCTATCTTTGATATCTAAGTGTACTTGACAATATTCTTTATTGTATGAAGTTTACTTGTTTTTCTTGAAGGAGATAATATAAGGTCAATGTTATTTCTTTTATTACTTACATGAAATTTAATCACACATTCATTTTATTATTATTATTGAATGTGCTTTTTAAAACAATTTCAAAGTAAGATTTATATGATTTTATCATTTTTAATTCTTCTTTCTTATTTCATTTCCTTAAACATTTCATCTTTTGACCAATTGCAACCATTGCAATTAAAATGCTATATTTGAGCTTTTCACTCAGAACATTGTTCAATCATCGTCATTTTATATTTCTAAATAGAAGTAATGACTATTAAGTTTGGAAAATATTGTCATATTAAAATCATGATAATGCTAATGTACAATAGTAATTATATTTAGGAAATAAAAATATAGTATTTTTATTTTGGAATTCACAAACGTTTTTACTGCCATTTATGTCAAAATCTTAAGAATATAAAGCTCGTTTGATAGCCTCAAATTCCAGTTTATCACTTTATGAGTCATTGTTTATCTAACACGACTCTTTTGTTTTCGCGCGTTAAATTATACGGAGTATAATGATAATAAAAGTAAGGTTGAATTTGCCTTGCTGACTTAATTGGTTGAACGTCATTTTAGCTATTTTCATTTAATTTGTTCTTTATTTTATTTAAATATATTTTACAAAATGAAATTATTTTGAAAGACCGTTTTAATCAAACATGTTTTTTCAAATCCTTAATTTTCAAGATTATTCTCAACTTTTCACAAAACATACTTAATGCAACCATATTTTTTAATTTTATAGAATGACTTAGAACCAGACGCACTTAGGGTCAGGCAATTTATATACGACATTATAAGCAAACGAACTTAAGTGATGATAGATACAACATCTTATTCAACTCTCTTTTTATGAACTATATAAATAAAGATTGTCATTGAGAGAGTTACATAAATTTTGAAGTTATCTAAGTTTTTATACACCCTTTCAAAAAAATATTTTTTTATACATAAAGATGCAATATAATAAAAAAAAGATAGAATATTAAAGAGAGAATTCCCCGAATAGGAGTAAAACAAAGGTAAAATGCAAAAATATAAGTACCATGTTTTGAATAGGAGTAACTTTAATGTTTAGACAAATATACTCGTACTCAAGCCCCAAGCCCCAACCACTTTCATTAATAATTAAAACATAAAAGAAATAACTTAATTAATTTATAATAAAATCATAAAAAAATAAAAACAAGAAAATATATATTAAATAAAATATAATCTATATTAAATAAATTATTAAAAACAAAAAATTATTAAAAATAAAAAATATTAAATAAAAAACTTAAAAAATTAAAATATAAAAAAATAAAAAAAATGAAAAATATATTTAAAAGAAGCTGCAAACCTCTGTTGCCGCCTCAACAACCTCCCAGCACCACCAGCTCCGACCAACGGAAGAAATGCCAACATTTGTCAAATATTCCATTTTGATGGCAGTTTTTTTTAGAAAATTTGGCATTTTTAGAGAATAAAAAATGCCATCATAATGCATTTTCAAAGAAAAATGACGATTTTTATATAAAGTGGCATTTTTTGGCCGATGAGAGATGGCATTGCTGGATGGTGGTCGGGGCTGAAGGTAAGGCCTCCATATTTTTTTTATATATTTTTTAATGTGTTTTATCTATTTTCTATTTATTTTTAAAGTTTTTTATTTTAAAAAAACTAATTTTTAATTTTTATAATTGTAATATTTTTTAAAAATATTTTTTCATATTTTAATGGGATCAAAAAAGTCCTATTTTAGAATTAATTAGGTTAGGGGTATTAAGGATAGAAAATTAATGATTATTCCTATATCGGTAATATCGGTAAATGGTTTAATGCACCAAACCCCCTCATGAAATATAAATTCGGCGCATTAGGCCTCTGTGATTTAAAAAATGCGTCAACCCCCATGTGTTATCATTAATCATGCGCCAAACTCCCTCCAAGAATAAATTTAATTTCAAAAAAAATGAAAAATGATTAGTTTTTTTTGTATAATTTAGAAATTTTGATAAAGTTACTTGCATATTCAACCATATTAATAAAAAAAGTGATTTCAAAATTGTAAAATTTGTTCTTGAAGAGGATTTGGCGCATGATTAATTAAAATACAAAGAGGTTTTGACGTATTTTTTAAATCATATTAGATTAATGAGACGAATTTATATTTCATCGCCTTAAAATGGTTTATTTAAGGAGCCTGAAAATGCTTTAAATAGTCTAAAGTACATCGCCAGAGAAAACAAGAAGGATATATGATGAGATTTGTGGCTTCACGCGCTGTTCTTCACCGTCTGGTGAAAGGCCCATCTGGAAGATCATCCGTCTCGGGGCTCCGATACTTCGGCGACAGCTCGGGTCGAGTCCTTAGCGAGGAAGAACGTGCTAGGGAGAACGTCTATATTCAGGTGGCAATCTCTTTAAATTATGCTATTCTTCAATCTTCATCAACTTTCTAGCTCTATTTTTCTCCAAATATACATAGTCCGTATAGTTTGCCTTCATAGTTTCTCTGTAATTTTTAAAAATTTGTTGCTTGATAAAGAAAATGGAAAGGGAGAGGCTGGAGAAGACGAAGAAGAAGATCGAGAAAGAAAATGCTGAGAAAGAGGAGTTGGAGAAGGTACGGATACTAATCGCTA